TGCTATGGAATTTGTAGGCCTAAAGAGCTCAGGATTTCTGTAGTCTCATCCTTGATGCTCACAGGGTTGCAGGCAGTTAGAGCAATGATTTGCACACAGGATAAAGCAAACTCAGCTTATCGCAGAGCTAGGGCCACATGCTGGAACTGCTTAGGTGCTCCCGCAAGGTACTGTCCCCTAAACATTACAGTATGGTTTCCTCAATGCTACCGCACTGCTAGAACAGATAGCATGGCAGAAACGAGTTACTCGCAAACTAACCTTGTTACTGACCCTAGCTGGACTTCTGCCAGACCTTTGACATAGTCTCACAGAGTATTCTTATTTCTAAACTGGAAAGAGTTGGATTTGAACAGTGGACTATTTGGTGAAAAAGGAATTGACTGGAGGGTCACAGCCAGAAGGCTGTGGTCAATGGCTCTATGTCCAGGTGGAGGCCGATGATGCCTGGGGACTGGCACTCTTCAACATCTTTATTGATGACATAGGTGATGGGATTGAGTGTGCCCTCAGCAAATTTACAGACAACACCAAGCTGAGTGGTGCTACAACACAAAGAAGGGATGCCAACAGGATGGACCTGAACAAGGTGGAGAAGAGAACCCATGGTAACCTGATGTGAATCAACAGAGCCCAGTGAAGTTGTTGCAGTTATGCTAGGGCAACCCCAGATATGTGTACAGTTTGGGAGAAGAATTCATTGAGAGCAGTCCTATGGAAGGAGCAGGGTCTTCTGGTGAATGAAAAGCTGGACACGAGCCAGCAGTGTGCGCTTGCAGTCCAGAAGGCCAACTGTATCCTGGACGGTATCAGAAGAGGGATGGCCAGCAGAGAGAGGGAAGTGACTGTCCCGCACTATTCAGCCCTCCCGAAACCCCATCTGGAGTGCTGTGTCCAAGCCTGGGGCCTTTAGTACAAGAAAGAGATGGATCTATTGATGGGATGCTATGAAGATTATCAGAAGATGGAAATGCCTCTTCTGCAGAGAAAAGCTTGAGGGACATGGGTTGCTCAGCCTGGAGAAGAGAAGGGAGACCTCATTGTAGCCTTCGAGTACTTGAGGAGAGCTTATACCCAGGAGAGAGGGTGACTTTTTACATGGTCTGGTAGTGACAAGGGGGGAATGTTTTTTAAACTAAAAGAGGGGAGATTTAGGTTAGATACTGGGTGGAAAATTTTACTCAGAGGGTGATGAGGCACTGTCAGAGGTTACACAGCAAAGCTGTGGGTGCCCTATCCCTGGGTGTGTTCAAGGTTGAATGAGGCCGTGGGGAACCTGACCTGGTGAGTGACAGCCCTGACCATGGCATGGTGATAGAACTGGAAGGGATTTAAAGTCCCCTCCAACCTAAACGTTCTACGATTCTATGATTCTGGCACTTATTTCAGAGCTATGGTGGAGTTTCCCAAGCAGCCACTGTGGGAAGAAGCAGAAGTGGGATGGAGCTATGTAAGACTGAGGTGAATTTTTTGAATTATTATTCTTATTTTCCTTTAAACAGACTGTTTTTTTTCCATTTGCACATTTTGTTTGCACTTGAATTGCAATGCAATTCTGTAGTTCAGCAGCTGTGGGTTAGAATTCAGGATTGCGGATGACTCATATTTTTAAGACTTTCTGAAGAAAGTAGTTTTTCAATCATATTTACTGATTTTTACTGATATTTACAGAATATATCTTTTTTTTTTTTGTAAAAGAAGCATTTTTAGTTTAAAAATTTTAATTGGCAAATACTGCTTTGCTATTGAATTTTTGCAATCTTTCAAATAAAGAAAAAAATTGTTAGCATTTTCAGCTAATGTTTCAGAATCTGTTTCTTTTTTTTTTTTTTTTTGGCAAGATTATAAAAAATTCATCTTTACACACTGTGAACCCGAAACAGTAGAATTTTTTATAAGGATAATTCTATGCTTTCACAGGCTGCTTCAGTGGAGTGCATGTAACATTTGGTATGTATTTAAGTAAGGAAAGGTGTAGCTAAACAATTAAGTTTTGGAAGGTGCTCTGTAGCTGTCAAACTTCTTGTTTTGAAATCCACACTAACAAAGGCTGTTCCTTGCAAAGCTTTTCTTAATTCACCCATAGCTTTCTACAGCAGTTGCTTCTGTCCTCTGCAGTAGGATGTCTGTAAGTGCTCATGGGATGCTATTGTTATTTTGCATAAACATACTGCAATAACCTTCTTTTAGATACTGCTTGTCATTTTTCCTTCCTAGAATTTCACAAATATTTATGCTGCAATCAGTTCTTGCAAAATTTCAAGATCATGACTTTTTTGGGATTTTATAATATTTTCATGGTTTTTCTGGAAATACAGTCAGGGTGGAATTCTTGTCATGCAAAAACAGTGAGGATGTAGAAGTATTTCTGTACTGTAAGTCCTTGCTGAATTCAGTCATGAGGATAAAGAGTCAGAGGTGATCAAAATGGACAACTTCAAAATAATCAAAATAAGATCTTTGCCACTGCTTGTAATGAGAGTAGCAGAGACCACACCACTGCCCTACAGACTACAAGAGTGCAACTCATAGGCATGAAAGTTAGGACTGGTGACGTTGTTTTCCAGCAGGTATTAATTTGCTGGCTTTGGGTGGTTTGTTCCTGTGAACAATGTCACAGGTATAAATACCAGTACCTGGAAAGAAACCATGAGGCACAGATTTTTTTTTAATTTTTTTTTAAAGTATGTGCATTAAGGCTTCAAAGCTCCCTTAGTCTGCTGAATGGCAATCCCTGAGAATGGATTAGAGAAAATCTGATTACAAAATGTATTATTTCCATCTGAGAAACCTGAAATAAAGAACACCTCTCCTGAGCAACGTAGAGTGAGGCAATGACTCCTTTCTTAAGGAAGGTGAAATACCTGTATGGAGGAGGTCACAACTACAAGTGGTGTATGTGGCAGCCTTTGTTTTCAATGATCGGTCTCCAGCTACAACACCACCCCTCTGGATATAGTGCCATGCATGAGCATGTGTCTTCAATTCTGTGTGGAAGCTGCTTAGGGCAAATCTGCAATCAGTGTTTATGTCTTCCAACTTGCTGAAGTGGTAATGGTAAATAATAGAAACTATCTGTCTTTCCAACAAACGCATTAAAATGTCTGCATTAAAACTGGGTCTGATATGGACCGGGAGAAGGAATACCTGAATAACGCCCCGTGTCAGGCACAGAAATAATTCAAAATGCCTGTGTTGAAGACAGCTAACCTTATTTTTAAAAAGCTGCAGTTAGAACTTGAGCAGTGAGAGATCTTTGAGAAAAGCAGCTCCCATCATGCCATTATTTTATTGCTGTGAAAGTAAATTACTATGAATAAATGCACCAATAAGTAGAAATGTTTTGAACTACATCCTTTTTTTTATTGCAAAACAATCGTTACAGAAATCTCAGAAAGTTCTACTGCAGTAATTGCCAACTTCTGCTTTTTATTACATATCTAAACACAGTCTAAAAGTGCATTGTGAATCCAGTAGACCTTTGGAAAGTACCATTTTCCCTAGTGATATACATTTAGACAAATCATACTTGAAAAGCTTCGTATTAGTAGGAATTTGCTTAAAATGATGTTTTAATCATTTTTCTCCCTTTATAAATGATCGTTATACACTTACAAATGATAACCCAAATAATAAATGATTAAATAGCTATTAGTATAGTATGTTGCAAACACTGTTCCAGACAGCAGTAGCAGCATATAGACTCTCCTCATGTACAACAACTGCAGTGGTGGAAGAATATAACTTTAATACAATTTACTCTTGTGAAGGCATAAAATTGTTTTTCACAGCCAATTCCCACTTCTGTTCCCTCTCCCTCCCTACCAAATACTAAAATAAACAAGAGTTATCACTTCCCTGCAGCAGAAACAGCAGCAATTTCATAATCAAACATTTTTTTTCCTAATAATTTCTTAGAAATAAGTATTCTGTGGCTCTGTGACGGATCTGAAAGCATACAGCAAAAATCAAAAGGTCAGAGACTTTCACAACCAGTCTGGCTCAGTCACGAGACTGCCCACTTGATGGTGATTTAGGACAAGCTGTGTCATGACTCAAAGTAATAATGTGATAGAAAAGCAGAATTAATCCATTCTCTGACAAAAGTCAGAGTAACTCCTTTGAAATCAGTGTTTTTATTTTTCTGCAGATTTTCACCAGCAGTGATAAGACCCTAACAGTTGTCAGTATGCTGTGATTAGTTACACAGCTGCACAACTCTCACCAAGGTGCAGAAAGTTGGTCCCCCCACAGTCATTCAACACTTGTGCCTTTACACAAAAGTGTGGCAAGGCCAGTGAACAGCATCTAGAGGAACAAAGGGTTTAATTAGATAAGCAGATGCCCCAGTGCTTTACTTTTGCCCACTTCTGATGGTACTGTTGTTTGAAGTAGGCAAGGGAAAATTATACTGGGAAGCTTTCCTATTTCTTTTGGAGTAAGTGATCTCAACATAGTATCTTTTAAGAGCACTGAAAATGTGGCCTTTTTTTTCTTTTATTTTTTCTCTCTCTCTTTTTTTTTTTTTTGTGTCTGTTTGTGTGTGCCTGTTTGTGCAAACACGCAAATATACTATTATTTTAAGCAGAGGAGAGACTCACGAATACCTACGTGTTCCTAGGGAAATCCAGGAACAACAAGCTTGCAACTTCCCTTCTGGTGATTATCAAATCCTCTGAAGTACATAGCCTGAGCAATTTAGCAAGACGTTTATGCTTGTTCTTAAAATTTGCACGAGTTAACAGATAATTTTGTTTCACTGGCTCACTCCAAGCTCATAACTTTGACAACTTCTGCTCTCAGGACAGAGATACTCATTTGCTCCGACTGCAGTCATTGGACTAAGGCTGTGTGCTGCTACCAGCACTGTTTTTGAGCAGTTATTTTTTAGTTACATTTTCCACGTGCTGACAGTTTCTAAGAAACAAATCATTTTCTTCTCTTACAAAAAATATACCTAACTAAGATATTTATCCCCTGACAAAAGGTTATCCATTCCACAAAAGTACAAATCTTTTTTTTTTTTTTTTTTAATACCAAAAATCTATAAATGGAAAATGAAAAAAAGCGATCTATAGCTGGAACCCAGCGGGCTTTCCTTATGTGCATGAATAGATATTTTGGGTGTCTGTTATATTTTTAAATTATCCCCACACTGCCATTTATTAACTGGCACTTGTGCTAAGAACAATTATGTAGCACCGTATCTCTTCCAAAAAAGAGAGAGCCAAATGTCTGAGGACTGCTGTAGGTTCGCATTTTACATTGAATATTTCAATTTCATAAAATACAATTGTCATTTAAAAATAATAAAAAAATCACTTTCTTTGCTAAAGATCAAACATAATGGAAATAATGTAAACATCCAAAAGCTTGGATTCATTCCTAACTGGATTCATCTTTACAGGCAGGCAATAGCAAAATGCTAAGTTTCATAGCAGTCCAAAGAAACTCATGGAACAATGCATGCATTTTCATCGACACAAAAAAAGACTGTAGGAAGAGAAACTATTCCAGTCATACCACAAAGTTACTGTGAAAGAATAATGTGCTATTATCCAATACCTAGGACAAGTGTATACCCCAACTGTAGAATAGCATCACTTAAACTGGAAACAACAGAACAGATTACTATAGGAAAATATTTATAAAATACTGTACACTGCTTCCTCAGTTGGCCAGCATATGTAAACAAACAGCTAAATTCAGTTGAGTTTCAAAATATTTTAAAGTTAATTTATCTTATACTCTTTTGCATAACATGCCAGTTCATCTTTCACGCTACCACAACTCACCTGTCACAGCCCACAGTGGCTCATTAGAGGTTTACACAGCAGCTCATACAGACACTTACGTGGAGCTATACAGAAAAACGTGTGAAACACACCAAACTTACACACTGTGACCAGAAATGCATATTCCATATGTATGCTAATAATTGGAAAGTGGAACTTAATGCTTGATGCAACATGTGCTAGTTTATTGAATGTTACAGATTTACAAACAAGACCTTATAACGTGATAATAAAATTGTCCTGTAACGTTCACTAATATTATCACATGTCACAACTATACTGGTTTATACATGGGAAATATGTATATATGTGTAGATAAATATTTCGTAAGCGCTAGCCTCTGATACAGAATATGTCATATGGCACATGCTATAGGTACATGGCATAACGGATGATAAGACTTTTACTCTCACTAAATGGTCATAGTAACGTTGGAAGTGGGAAATCTGGTCCCACTGTAAGGAATGGGTGTTTGACCACCAAACTGAGAAAGAAGCAGTTTGATGCAATATGTCAAAAGCAGGTGAAGATGAAATAACCTAACATCCATCATATTATACTCTATAGACACCACATCATAGAATAAATGGGAAACATTCAGGAAAAGTAGTCTTCTGACATCTTGCAATCACACTTTTAACATTTGAATTTACATTTTATATATAATGGCAAATTTTAAGAGGTAAATAAAGTGTCCTGTTTCCTTTTTACCTGGAATGTGTGCTCCAGATCAATAAAGTGCTGTATCTTAAATATTTATACAGCTTCTGTGTTTGGCAAATTCCTTTACACTGACAACTAAGCAATGAAATCTACCCCAGAGGAGATCCCTATCCTTTGGACTAATTCACTAATTACTATTGACAAATTTCTAAACAATTTGAAGCTCCTCTAGAGTAGGCCAATTGTATGGTAGAGGTGGGAGAGTCCACAAATTGTTTTAGAAGATATTTGTAAAAGTAACAAGGAAAACAGAGCGAAAAGATCCCCCTATACTCATCAAGGACAAATAGATTTGGAGAAGCCTTAGTGAAAGGCTGCTAACAAAAGTTGGCACATTTGAAGCAGATTGTTAAACACAGTTCCTTTGTCTCTGGGCTTTTTGCTGTTGTTCAACAATCGGCCTGTCACAAGCATGCTTCATAATGCACAGAAAGGCTTCTGACCTTTCTTGGTGTTGCCATGTGGTCATAATGCTGCACATGGACTGCAAGGCAATTGCATAAACATGGTGTCTTGGTGGAGTCTAGCTCATTGAAAGCTTGGTCAAACAGGATAAAGAAAGAAATATACTGGTGCAGGAAGTACGAAACACATTGTGCTTAGCATTTCCATGTTGCATTTCTTTATTTCACAAGCTTTCCAACGTTGTGACTCAGTATGTAAAGATTTTCTTCTTTGCCTCTTGTCTTGAGCTGGATGATTAGTTTCATGTCTGGATTTGTTGTTGTCTTTCAGACTTAACTCTCACATGGTCCTTAGGATCTCCCAGGGTGAGATCCTAGTGAGAAAATGTCAGCCTGTGTTTTCAAAGCTGCCTCAGAGATTTGAAAGATAATTCCCATTTAAATAAATGGGAAACATGTACCCTACTTGCACGTGCTTTGATTTAATAACAAAAAGGACTTGATTCTATACAGGTTTTGGTCACTCTAGAGATATTTTAATGTCATTAGCATTAGCTTCAACTCTTTTCAAACTTAAAAGTTGTCCCTTCACAAAGGATGTGAAATTTTGGTCCAGTTGCCGTTTATCATTTTCTAGTATTTTTCTACATCCTGTATACCCTTTCGCCTCTGCCCACTCAGATATCTTCCCATAACACTTCTGAAGATAGTTTGTACTGTGGACCTTTGGAAATTAGATAGGATCAGTGGAGTTTCTATTGCCTTCAAACCAAACACCATAGGTATGCTATGGATCAGGTGTACTTTATTCTACTAAAATGTATTTTCTGTAATATGATGCTGAATGGTAGAAGTACACTTGCATCTGATGGCTTTGCTACTAACAGACAGCTCCACTTCCACTTTGAATTTTTTAACTTACCTTAAAAGCACATATACTTTTCAGTGTTTTCCAGTATTCTGCCAATTAAGTTTTCCTTTAGGCAACTTCAGTCTAAATTAGTTAATCTGGATTAAGACCAGATAGATCTTGTAAATCTTATATAGTTTGGAATGTCCAAATACAAATACATGTCTTCTTTAAAAAAAAAAAGAAAAAAACAACAACAAAAAATAAACAAAAAAAGAAAAAAGGCATACTTTCAGGTGAGAGAACGATGTAAAAAATTGGCAGCTCAAATGGAACAGCAAGAAGAGCCTGGTGGCAACCCTGTGGGTAAGCCTCCCCAGCTTGTACAATTAATTAAACAGAGCAGTGACAATATTACTGCTCTTTGCTCTGATCATCCTACTCTTATTGTTCTATCACATCCTTTGATTTAGTGAGGCAAAATATTGATGACAAATGTAATAAAAAAATAAATATATACTATTCCACTTAATTACATTCATCCTGAGCTTGCTCAGCTGTGCTAGGCTTTAGAATGCCCATTTCATCAGGAGATCACCTGATATTTCAACGTGAATTCTTCCTCCGCTGATGATGCAGTACAAAAGGCATTTCTGTTCCCTTTCTGCTTTTGAAAATACATACTGTTTTTTTGTGGCACTAGAATTTGATACAAAAAGAGACAAGCAAATGTTATGGTTGTTATCTTGTTCATCTTTCTTCATTTACACATGTGTAGGGTTGCAAGGTATTTGGGATACTTTAGTTTTGTTTGCCACCAGTTCCCAGAGAAATAACAAATGCTTTTCACCAGTCATCACAATGGTGAAACAGATGAAAAAGAAGTTATGACTGAAATTTAGGACATCTAATCTGTACATCTCTTTTTGCAGATTAATTTCTGTGTCCTAAGAGCTTGTGGATAATAGATTTTAGGATGCTTTCTATTAGAAGGCAGATTTCTGAACTCACTTATTACTTATAACTTCCTAGGGGTCTTTTTTTTCCTATTGTTTACCAAAGTCTCTGTAAATTTTTCATCCCTCCCTTTTTCCTTAAGTGCAAATATCAACTGGGTCAAGATGCAGTAACTCAGCAGTTGATGCTGAGACTGACAGTGTGCTCCCTTGACCAGTGGCTAATGCCAAACTGGAGTTGACGTGGAATGTCAATATGAAGCATGGTAATTTTGCTAAGGAAAATGGATTGAAGAGCAGATGACCTTTTGACTGACTGCAAGATTTGTCTAGGCCTAGCTGTGCTTGCTTTCAAAGCTGCGGAATGCTCCTGTTCTTGATAGTCTCCTCATGGACAGGTTGTCCCCTCTGCTCTCTGGCCTTGAGGACTTACTCCTCTGGAAGGGGTTCCGCAAGCTTGTTGCATTTCGCTGTCTGTCAAGTTTATCACTGATTGAGTAGCTCTTCCGTGTGTGCTGTGCATACAGCATGTTGGACTCTTCTGCAGAGTAGCTGTTAGCCCGCTCTATTTTTGGAAGCGGGATGCTGTTGGTCAGAGTTCTTGTGGCACTGCTGTCTTGAGGAGATAGGGGAAGCCCCTTCTTGTCCCTGGCCTCAGTATCCTCATGATCAGAGCTTGGGTGGCTTAATTCTGCTTCTCTCTCTGGGTGGCAGCATCCCAAGTCTTCCACCTTGATGCCGAGACTTCCAGGGAAACTTGCTCTCTCTGCAATGGTCTGAGGAGCACTCACACACCTTGTGTCTATGCAGTCTGTAATACTTGTGTATTCTGCTGTTTTGACCGGTACGCCAAGGCTGCTGAAGTAACTTCGAGATGGAGAGAACATAAAACTGTGAGATTTCACAATTGGTGTTTCCTCCAGAATAAATGGAGTTGTAGCCAGATAACGACTGCTCTTAGATCGCTCTAAAGTGTGGTACAAGGGAGGGTCTGAATCCCAGGGGATTTGGCAGTCTGTGATTTGTGAATAGTCTGAAGAAAATGCTCTTGTTTCTATACCGGATGTTTCCTCATAATCAAGACTCCTGCCAGAAATTTTTTCACCAGGTGTGCTGCTAATATATGCACTGTTGGCTAAAATGGAAGAGGCTATGTGTGCCTGCAGAGCTACATCTCCAGTACCAAGAATATTTATGGAACTATCAAGAGGCTCTGTATCAGAATGCATCTCATCCATTGCAGAAACGTAGATATCTATACAAGATGAAGGCCTTCTGGAGTCTGGGGCAATTGACAAAGTGCTGGTAGGGGCTAAGGGAATCTTTCCTTCTTTCGCTATTGAGTGGGAACTGCTAGCCCGGTGCAGGCTTGGAGATCTTTCCTTGAAAATGCTTTCAAACTTTTCCAACCCACACTTGTCCTTCATATTCGTTGCATAGAAAGAGTGGCTTCGCATGCGAGGTGTAATTGTAGGAGAAGTTGGGGACATAGACTCTTCCCCTGTCGGATCTATGCTCTCTTGCAGCTTGTAAGCATTTCCTTCTTGACTATTGAAGCTACTCTGCCTTACAATATAGGCTGCATCGGTACAGTCAGATGAAGTCCTGGATCGTATCTTGGTTGTCTCTCCTCTCTCTATGCCAGTCAGTTTTTCTAATGCTGTCACCATTCTTCCTATCATATCTTCCAGCTGAGCAAGTCTGATGTCAACAGTCTGCAGAGAGGCCTTCATGCAGTGCTCGCGCTCATTTACTTCTTCCAGTCGCATGGCCATATTCTCCACCCTTAAAAAGGAGAAAAATGAAATAGGTTAATTTCTACAAAGCAGTGATATTCAGCCAATAAGTCTTTGAAATAAGTGAAAATAAACATGAGTTAAAATTCAAAACCCACCTACACCTCCTCATGTGCACCAAACTCTGGTAAAGAGGTTCAGCAAATAAACAGTACTACTTGCTCAGGAAGCTCTTCTATCCCAGCACAGACTGGGGCTATTAGGGAAACGTTACTGTGATTTTCTAATACTGCTTCTGCTTCTAATGAGGCAGTTCCAAGAACTGACAGCAGATGCTACATGATATTACTCTCAGTTTTGCTACAGGCAGAACTATTGTGGCTAACTCCTAGATTAAATTAAGTCATGGAAGATGGACAACACATCACTTTACTTTCCATGTACCCCCAGACTGTATCAGCAACTGCTGTGTGGACCAAAGAGTTTCCTTATTCTTTGATTCGTTTTTAGCTTAGATACATGCAAGAAGTTGATCAGCTACTGTACAGAATGTAAGTAACATGTAGATAGACAAGAATGGAGGTAACATGGAGGAGGTGAGCAACAGTTAAAAGAAATACAGATGTACAATTGGATACACACAACAAGATTATTCTATTCCTATGTTTGTACTTCATGTAGTCTGTATTAGTAATTCAGGGATTGAAATGATGGATTATGAAGTTATTTGCTGTCTTCCTATCAAAATATATAAATAAAAAGCTAAAGTACTAATACCTAATTGATTGTGTGATCCTAATTTAAACTTCTGTATAATTGTTCTACAATCGTTTTAAAATGTTTTAAATTGTGAACTATGCACTAATGCATGCCAGTGGCTTCCAGTCATTTCTGTTTGCTTGCCTCTAAAACTTCTCTGCTGAATTTATATGAACTTCTCCTATTTCTAACAAGAAGATTGCCTTTAGCACTTATGAAATTTATTCACACAATAATTTTCTCTGGTAGTAGTTTATGGAGTAGATCAGGGACTTCTTTTATTTGACAAAGAGGTATTAAAAGTGGCATATTAATATAGTTTTCTACTATGTCTATGATGTCTATGTCTATGACATCTACTACGTACATGTCTCACTTTTAGATTTGCACTTTTGTTTTTTCCCTGTTCCTTTAGACTGAAAAATGAACACAGAATTGACAAATGACAGGATTTCCAGATTCTTCCAAACTCTCTCATTCTCTACTTGTTTGTGTAATTTATAAGTAATTTTAATATACACCTTGTCAGTCAAAGCCAGGTTTTCTTTACTATTGGTAGATGAATTTATGACCGAACAAATGACCTGAAAGTGGCAACACCAGTGCAAAAAGAAATCAGATTTTAGGCCGCAAATATGTATTGGGCAGCATTAATGCCTTGTATGTCACCAAATGTTAGCCAGTGAAACACTGAAGTCTGTCTGCCCTGTGGTGTTGGGGAGTAGCCACCCACCTGCAAAAGAGAGGAATGGAGAATGGAACTGCTCTCTAAGGAAGGCACATATTTGCATGAAATATGGGCTTATTGTGTCGAAAACCATAAATTTTGAAAACAAAAGCATGGCAAATCAAATGTATAGGTTTGAAGCCTTCTGTGAATGAGAAACTGCATTACTGTCATCAGACTTAAATGGACAAATGATCAAGTAAGCTAAGACCTCTGCTAAGAAATAAACATACAGTTTCAAATAATCTCTTTTTACTCAGCTTACTATTATTCAAACACTTGTTTACCTCTTCTATCAACTTCCTCCAATAAAACATGTTAATGTTATTACAAACGCAGGATATAATTCTATAGTATATATGAATATACTATATATATCATGGTAGTAAGAGAACACTTTGTATTAGAAATAGTTGAACTCTCCCTCATGTTATTAGTTATCTAAACTGCTCTTTTATGAAAAATATACTCCTGAAATATTTATCAGCTAATGATTGAGTGCCTGACCACACATTCCGTTTTCATAATAACTTCTTGATGATGATGACAGATATAACTTGACAGTTTTAGGGCTGCCAGACATACTAAACAATCTGAGTAACCTCGTGGACTAAAGAACAGTATTTTTTTGAACACAGGGCAAGGCCAGTAATATTTCTGGACAAGCTAAAGATAGGTTTCTGGGATATGTGGTCTGCTGTTTGCTATGGAACCAATCACAGATTTGATCACGTCAATAGTAGAAGGAAATGTATATAGTAATTTAGTGAGGTAAAGGATACAGAAACAAAGGGTAACGCCATATGTTCATTGATAGCTGAGAGATTCCTACATGTATTTATTGGGATGACACCTAGCTGTGCAATTTTTATTCATAAAAAGAAAGCTCAAGTGATGGTAATGTCCCTCAAATCCAAAGCTATTAGCTGACTATAGTCAATTTTTGTTATATGTTTGACATATGTTCACTCCCAGATCTTTCTAACAAATATGCATGCTTTTAATCAAGGATATTCTTCTGCTAATTTAATGCTCAGTTCTGCAGTCATTCAACACATTGAGCAGCAACATGCTCTGGGAATAATCCTACTAGAAATATAGTATAATCACATCATCCAAACACTAAGGGCATAAGAAGATCTGGAGAAGCACAGCCATAATCTGGACCTTAAAATGCTTTAATAAGTGAAATGTTTTACTGTTCTGTATTTGACAGCGAATAGACAGTCAAATCTAAATTTCCTTCAGGAACAGTTTTGAATTAAAAGACTATTTCAAAATACAAATGTTCAAGTTTTTCTTTAGATTTTTTTTTTTTTTCTTTTTTTTTTTTCTGTGTGTATTGGAGATACAGAAGCCTTTCAGCAAATCTTGCAATATCCAAGTATGATGCCACTACTGCACCTGTGCTCTTCCTTACAGCAAGATCTATCCAATGTATCAGAGCTATCCTAGCAGATGGGCATGAGAACAAAAAAACAGAAGGCTACATCTAATTGCTTATCCATTGTGTTTTTTTGAAGCTCATAAGTTTCTAATAGAAAACCAAACAAATTAGCTGAACACAATATTCAGTAAGTGGGAAAAACACAAACTCACAAAGATGTTACATCTTATGCGACCAACCTTTTAAGCATGATTTGGGAGATGATGGCTGTTGCTGGCATTCACTTTGGTTACATAATTTTTTACCTTTCTTCAACTATTCATTTAGAATTTAATTGAAGCAGTGATTTAGTGGGAGCAAGGTGTTCTTTTCAGAAGTAGACCTTTTAGCTGAAGTAGACCATTAACTGAATGCTAGAATTAGGTTTGCAAGTACCTTTATAGACCTACGTCCATTTTTCAGGTATCCTTTATGTCTTCAGAATTCTTTTCAACTGCTGTAAAGGCTGCAGACATTGAAAGCCCCTTAAAGTTGGACTTAATAGGTGATTGTAGAATGTTTTTCTCCTTCTGAAAGCAGTTCTCAAGCTTTGAATAGAATAATGACACTTGCCCTGATGTTTTTTTGTCAAGGCATTGCTTGTTTAAGTGGCAAGCCACTTTTCCCTGGCATGATGGTTTCAGTAGATTAAGGTTATCAAATTGTCTTGGCTGCTTTCCCATCTGGAGCGTAAGATCTCCAAACTGTGACTGCAGAGAGACATAGTGAAATTCACAGATCTTTCCTAGCCCTCCTTTGCATTTATGATCTGATCTAGGTGCAGTATTGATCTTTTTATCAGTTCTGATCTGTTTTTGTGCACTTCAGTTTGCTGTATCTGAAACCAGGGTAACAGCAATGTCTTCATTCATGGATGCCTTTAGTGCAATTGCACTGAGGACTATAAAGTGTTAAGAAGCTATAGTACTGAATACTATACAGTGCCCATGATAACACCATAATGTCTACTTCAACCAGTTTATGTGATGTTTGAATACCCTTAGGATGAGAATTTGCTCCCTTTGGAGTCAACAAGGGGTCAAGTCTTGGCCATAAGAGAAAAATGCCTACCAAAGTGATTGTTTTGGGGGCTTTATGCCAAATTAAGAAACACGGTCTTTTTGATCATATTACATATTATCTTGTCTCTGCGCTGGTCAGAAAGTGGCACTGAAAGCATCACAGTAATTAGTTTTCTATGTGATTCTTTTGTAGCATCAAAGTGAATTAGTACAACTTTGCTTTTCTCTCTGTTCTCCAAAAGATTCTCTCAGATTTGCCTTTCTGACAAATCAGTTGAAGGCATCACCTTAAAGTTTGCTACTGGTTCTTATATTTTGTCATAATCAATCACTCCCACTGATGTATCTTGTTAATACAGAGCTACTTCCATGTGTCCATGTAAGGTTGTGGCTACCAAGGAAGGACAAACATCAACAGTGGTTTCATATTTTGATCTTGGAATGTGGAAAAGTCAGGTAAAAGAGGGATTCTGTGTGGTGGCCACAGCTCTGAATACTTCTGTGGTGTCTTTGCAGTAAGAATGGCAAGGCACTTGCTGAATCAACACAGATCCCACAGATTTCATGGTGGACTATTCCAAGGTGAGAATATAAACTGTTGCATGTTTTAGGTGGCAAGGTTCTGTGATCTTGACTCACCACAACCACAGAGATTGCAGTTGAAATTGGTTATTTATATCCAGTCCACTACAGCAAGAAAAAACATATCTTTCATTTTCATTGTTCTTTCATTTTCCTGAGCTCCTCCTTGTCTCTGAACCTATCTAGGCCGATCTTCAAGGCAAGACTATTCCTGTCTCCTTTTTCCCTTCCAGTACAAGCTCCCTAATCCTTCTTCCAGGCTTACTGGCTTTGCACCTATGGCGTGAAGCTGCCCTCCTTCAGGTAGCCTGCATGGTTTATGCTGGTAGATCCAGCTGCAGGTAGAAGCTGCTCAAGGAAATGTTGAAAACATTCCTGGGAGCTAAGTGGATCACAGATGCCTGGAAGAGGAGGAAGGCTGTGAGCAATCTGGGTACAGATATGTAACTCAGGCCTTGTCCCAGTTCCTATTTCTCCTCCAGCCTAACAGCACCCTCAGCTTCCTAAAAAAGGAAGTGCAGAAAAATACACACAACTTCTCAGGGTACTCTGGTTCAATTTTGCACTGTGTAAAATTGAGTTAATTGGCTATTGAGTTAATTGACTATAATGTAGGTACTGTGTTTGGACTAATAATACAGGCTGAAGACAGGATGTTGAAACAGAAACCACAGACTGCACATTCTCTTTTTTCTTCTTCTTCACATCATGTTAATTGCACAAATACATATCTATGCAGAAACTATGAGGCTGTATTTTAAATATTTGAATGTTCAGTAAGTTGGAAAAAGTAAGTTTCTTTTTTCAGATTTAAAACACTTTAAGGGATACAAGCCCAACCATAATTGCAGGCCAAATGCATGTTATTTAGGACACTTTTTAATGAATTATTTCTCTTTGAGTCTTACATGCTTGTTTTCATTTAGGACTCATAATCATGAATTCTCCTCTGAAATGAGGTACTTTAAGTCATTCCATTTAAAGTAAAGGGAAGTGCTCCCGTACTGTAATAAAATAGAGCCAAAACAAAGTGCAAGGACAGACTATTATATGTTTGTTTTTCAGTATTAAGAGCACTTGCCTAATGTAGAGAAGGTCCCAGGTTACTACTTATTTACAGAGGCTTCAAACATACCTCGTATTTCCTTGGTCACCAAAAGTAAAGTTGTGACTGAGCAGAGATCTGAATATGCATTTACTATGTTCAGGTAAATTCTCATTTCTATCAGAACACAAGGACCTCAAACCACAGATAAATGTAGCTCACTGTCTTTCTCTGAAGCATATGTAATTTTTCTCCTTTACATTCTTCAGTCTCCAGCCATTTTCAGCTTAGATCTCTGTAGTCCTTACATCATTTCTCTTACAGAGATTTGTCTAGTCTATGTTTTAATCAGTGAAGACTTTTAACTGACATAATCATCTTCTTTTAGATCCCATCATTTTCACTCTGTTCTATCATTTACTTCATAAAATAATCACCTGTTCTCATTTATTTTGAACTGTGTCTTGCTAGATTAATCTGTTGCTCTCCTGTTTCTTGTTCTTGTACAGAAATCAGTTGATTTCTGCTCACCCTCTCCTTGCACTCAGAGCTGCATAGACCTCTATCAATTCATTTCTGATTTGTGTCTTCCAGATAGAATACTGTTGGATTACTTAGACATTCCTTTTAAGAAAGCTATTCCATGCTTTACCACACTTTCTCTCTAATACCTTTCCCTAAAATCTGAGTCTTGAGAGTGCTATTTTCAGGAATGCAGAAGATTATATTCTGATTCCAGCAGAATTCATTCTTCTTCAACCTGGGTGACTGTGTTTGCTATTATACAAATATATATATATAAATATATTTTAACAAATTAAAATTATACTATTTTACCTCTAGGAAACATATTTCAGGCAAAGCTGCATGCTAGAAGATTACAGGTAAGCAGAAGAGTGTTACACCTATGTATTCAATTACAAAGACTACTTTCCTGATCACATTTAGATGCATTCAGGATGAAGTAGAGTATTCAGAGTACAGAGTATTCAGCGGTTCTCAAGTTTTATGAATATCTGACAGAGTATTACCCTAGAATATTTATTGGCAGCAATGCCATGCATCAAACAACAAAATCTGTCTTCAAAATTTAGCTCTGTTGCTTAGCTGCTGTATGACAAAAGGATGTAAACACCATAGGAGATTAACAGATTCCTGCATTTTAGGACAGTTGAAGACTGGCAGCTTTCACTAAACTCATGTTTTTTATTAGTCATCTCCGTGTTTTACCCGTGTAGGTAAAATGTCTAGTTCCTTTGGAATTCATGGCAAGATACCTGTTTCTCTTAAAGTAACCAATTAACCTAGCGAGACTAGCTTGAAACAAGGCTCCTTCACTATCTAAGGGAGTAGCAGGTCAGTGCCTCAGTGACTATCTAGTTTTCATTGAGGAATACTCATTTACCCTTCCACTGTGACCACCTGTGTCCTAAGACACCTGACCACCTGTGTCCTGAAATTCTGCTTTATAAACTGAAAAATGGAAGAACTTGCACTTGTCACACTATTCTATTTGTGTACAATTACAGCTGGTTGAATGAGTTAAAATCTTCAAAACTTTGAGGAACATTTCTTTAGTGAAGAAGAGAAAAAAGAGAGAAAATTTCCCCACCTTGTATCATTCTACTTTTTAGTTCAGATTTATTAAAAACTACCTCAAATGTTTACCTTTTAAAGAAAAAACAAAGGGTGAGAGTGGCAACGGAAACATATTTCTAGATCAACATATGAGAGAACAAACAAAATGCACCTTTCTGAAGTGACACGGATTCTTTCATCATTGGAAGAATTGAATCTGTCATCCTTCTCTCTAAAATATTCTTCTATGCACTGCTCTTCAAAATCATGGACTTTTTTCAATTCATCCTCAGTTATGAAAAGTTCTGTGGAAACAATAAAAGAATTGAATTTGGAAAAGCACAAATGCGAAATTCAGGACACTTTTCTCACTGAAGAATCCTGGACTAAATTTTCAAAAGTGGGTTTCAAATGTAACTGGTATTTTGGTATGACAGCACAGAGATGCAGCTAATTATCAAACTGGTGGCTTAGATTATATATGCTTCTGGAGACAGCAAAGCTTAAGCAAGCAGACAATAGTTCTCTGCTGAGAAGGTTATCAAAATGCGGGGTTTAGCCTTCATTCACAGCAAACAGTAGATATTGAGCAGGGCAATGGAATGTCTGTAAATTGTTGACAGCTTACTTAATCCGTAGTCTCTCTCATCCGGGTCGCTTTCGTGTTTCCGCCATCTACAGCAGAGGTGCTGGCATATCATGGTCATATGGCTGAAAATGATCAGAGGTGGTGGAAGAACTGGCCTTTCATGAAACGTCATGATTAGCTGATACCTTTGAAACTTCCATACTTGGTTGGATATAGATTTGACTTCAAAAAACGTATTGCTGGAAGGCAAGAAGAGGAAAATAACATCAGATTGAAGCATTTTTGGGTACTTTGCCAAAAATGAAATGACAGTACCCTAATTATACGCATTTCACTAGCAGTGGCAAATGTTTCCTTGTCATGCAGAAAAAGGAAGAACAAAAGAAAAGGGCTAAATAAGTTTGTTCTTCAGTAAAGCACAGTGGCAATCAATCATTTCAGAATTATGTTACTACTGTTCATTCTTGCTCAGTGCAACCAGTTAGCCTTATGACAACAAAATGAGAGGAAAATATTTTTATTCTCATTTTCTATATTGGGAGTGAATGATGCCGTCACTGAACTTAACATGTTCGGCTGTTCTGCTCTCGCTCTCATCAGGTGTCTGTCTTTGGAAATGAGACAATGTGAAGAACTTGGCATTTCCCTCATTCCCTGGAGTCAAGCTACTACTTTATACCTTCTCACTCTCATAAATCCTCTGAAAAATGTCTCTCATTAAAGTCAGAAGTTCAACTGCTTTCTGACACCACAAATAATGCCCCTGCCTTCCCCAGATCCATTCTTTGGAATGTGTCACTCACTTGAAAACAGCAATCAGGAGGTTCACCAAAAGGATGTTTGCAACCAAGAGGTAACAGGCCATGATGGCAGGAACGATCCATGCTCCTGTCTTGCAAGGAGGCAGCTGGATTATCTTGCCATCTTCTCTAGTTTCATTTTGACCACAAGGAGCTGGGAACGAAAACACAAAAGAGCAAAATAGGAATGAATCTTATTTTTTCACTTTATACAGAAATGTTTAAATATTTATGAAGGTCTGCCTGCCAAAGCAGTATCTTCCAAACTGGCATTGATGCTCCCCCCAAGAAATTTGAACTTGCTATAGGTGGTGGTGATCACATGATTGTCAAATTTATCACAGATTTTACAAGCTGAAGTTTTTGATGCTGTGTGTTATTTGCCATGAATATCAAGATATTCCACTCCAAAATTTCAGGACATCCATCTTTGTGAGTAGGCTGCCTGTTTCATATAGCTAAAATATCTTAAGACTCTGTAGTAATTTGTGGCTGTGCAAACGAAATGATCGAAATACTTAATTCTGCAAAAAGCTACATTAGCTGAAAAACTATAATAAAACTTAAAAAATTTTTTTTTTATGATGAAAATTTAGTGTTTTTGTTATTTTTTATTTTTATTTCAATAGAGATCTGAAAAATAGCTTAAAGAAATACATGAAAATAAATAACTCCTGTGAGCTGCAGTGCTCAGAGCCTTTCTGGGAAGTATTCATAGTGGCTGTTTGCAAATAAGGACTTTTGACTGCATTCCTAATACAGACATTTGACTGCACTCCTAGAAACTGTGGGGGAAATTTTAAAGTCTTCACTGTACCAGGTAAAGGAACATATAGCAGATGAGTTGCCACCTGTTTCTTCCCCAGATGTTTTGGAACCAAAAAGACCTCCTTATTAGTGTTTTCAAACAGAAGCAAAGAGGAAGAAAACATTATGAACTGCTTTTCTTCTTTTTGTTTGTTTGCCTTTGTGATCTTGTGGAAGATCTGCACAGCTGCATTTGGAAGTGTGGGTTCAGTTTATCATCTCCTAGCTTCACGCTGCCCTGGTGGTCCTTTGTACTTTTTTAATTAGCTCTTCAAGACAAAAAATCAAAGAAGTAGTTTACATATACAGTCATCTTAGTTGAATTTGCTCAGTGCTGTGGCTGCCTCCCCCTTGTCCAATTCCCTCTGACTTAATGGACAACAAACCTTGCAAATGCTATATGTTTTGTGAAATCTCATACCATGTCAAAACATCTACGATACCCAATATCAAATATTTTAATCAAAACAATCCTTCTGACCTTGATTTAAAGAGCATGGAATTCTCCTGTGGGTACTGTACTGGCAGACATATGATATTATTTGAGAGATGGGTGCTTGGTTTTGGGCAACATGTACAGGTGTTGTGTTATTACCAATACAGCAATATGGGACAAAGGGTACATGCTCCATCAAATATCAGCTATATCCTAAAGTATTCTACTTGCATAAAAAGAAATGGCAAACCTAAGTATTTTGCAAGTATTATCTCTAGAGCTTTTTCCTTACAGAAATAAGTTTTTTTTACTGGAGCCACGTGAATGTAATTCATTATTTCTCAGAAAATATCACATTGCAGGTCTTTTAATTCTGTACTGATTTTGTGTTTCCTGCTCTGCTCCAACCAGTGGCTTCTAGACAGGGAACTTGTAGAGAGTCCTGAGGGGGGGCTACAAAGATGATGAGGTGCCTGAAGCATCTTTTATGAGGAAAGTCTGAGTAACATGCATCTGTTGTCCTGGAGAAAAGAAGACTGAGAGGGGATCTTATCAATGCTTATACATATCTAAATTGTGGATGTCACATGGATGGAGCCAGGCTCTTTTCAGTGCTGCTCAGCAACAGGACATAGGAAGTTCCACACAAATATGCAGAAGAACTTCTTTACTATGAGGGTGACAGAGCACTGAAACAGGCTGCCCAGAGAGGCTTTGGGGTCTCCTGTGCAGATGTTCAAAACCCACCTGGATGTTTTCCTTTGCCACCTTCTTTAGAGAACCTGCTTTAGCAAGGGGTTGGACACGATGATCTCTAGAGGTCTCTTCCAACCCCTGTAATTCTGTTGATTCATTTAGACATACAAAATACTGCTAGATTTCTTGGGCTAGGTTCATTCAGTCTTCATCCAACAGAAACTGGGACAATCAACATGGTATTGGCACTTCAGTGAGGCATTTCTGTTTATGTGGAAACATTAACTCACATGCTGATTCAGAGCTACAAAGGCCAACATGATACAGTAATACAGTACCACAATCTGTCATGATTTTATCAGGAATGCAGCAATCACTTTAGAAGCTGATGAAACCTGTTGTCTTTTTGTCTGCTAAATCAGAGAACAAATAATGTCTTTTGTAATGATGAGAGAAAATTCTGAAAAACATATTTTAAATTTTAGATCAAAGATAAAAAAACCCTCAGTCTAATGTCTAGATATATTTTATTATTCCAAATTTCTATTTAAATAACAACAAAAAATATTTTCATCTATAAAACTCTCTCTCGACAGCTATTAAGACAGAAATGATTTATCCAAATTTATTGGCCTACACTGGAGTATTTAAAATGCCACTAATGTATTCCTGTTAGCATATATCACACAGTGATGGCCACAATAGACTCTCTACACAGAGAAGCCTCCATCATCTTTTATGTACACTGATCAGCAATGCTGTGTGTTTGTAAAATTTTTCTCTCTGTCAGTTCTGTTGGAGAAAGTTATAATAGCAAATACTAATCTTGTGCTTTACTTTTGGAGATCTGAGCCAACACTCAGTCTTCAAATCTTAGCTGCATGATGTGTGTCCAAAATGCTGAAGCTTGTGTTCTACTGCATATGACTGAAATGAGCATCTTATTCCATCTTTAAGTTACAACATCAGTTCTAAAGGACAGTTTTCCCACCATTAAAGAAACTGTTAAAAATATTCCCAGAAAACAAGAAACAGAAGTTTCTTTCTTTGTTAGGTGAAGAACTGGCAGGTGGCAAAGAGTAGAAATGATATTCTTTTTTGATAACAAAGATGCTTATTTACATTTAAGAAATTAGATTTTCGCTGGATGATTTTAATTGTATTTTGAGAAATGCAGAATTGCTTATGGTATGTGCAATAACATACTGTGATGACAAACCTTTGCAAAGAACAGTTTTAACATGTATGGAAATATATTTCTATCTTTTTACATTACAGACTTGCTCTAGCAAAAATATGTAGAACACTTAGCTCTGGTAAAAAGCTTTATTAAAAGAAACTCAGCTAGTATAACTACATGCATGGTCCAGGTAACTGAAAACTCCAGGCACACTGATACATAAAAGACACTGGATGTAGGTAGGCCATTATGCTCTGATGGCAGGCTTTAAAAAATGATAACTGGTTGGAATTTTAATTTAAATTCCATGTATTAGATTCACTCAGCTTTCACTGCACCCTGACACCTGTGGTTTTACATAATTTTTGTATCTTTTGTTTCCCGTTTCACAGTCTGCCCCTATGCTTAATTTTCCTTCCTGGCTCCTCTTTGCAGTTTCCTGTGTGGGCCCTTCCTGCTACATACCTAACCCTTCCTCTTTCCTGGCCAGCAAAGTGGTGCAAAGCAAAAAACAGCGGCCCATATATCTGTGTGCTTCAGACTATAGAAATAGCAAAGCTTGGGAAGGATTTATTTCCCTGGTGTAATCACTTTCACCACATGGGCACTGATCACTTTTACTGAGCGTTGGGTGGAGGGCTCGAGCAACAACACTTGCAAATTTTTGTGGCATGACTCTTTCCCCAGCTGCAGCTTTCTGAGGTGGTAGTGGTAAATAATGGAGAGAGGAAAATATGTAGCTGAACAGTTCTTTTACCAAATAACTTTTTACCTTTGATGGAAACTTTTCATGTAAAAATGGATGTCACTTTCACAGTAGAATTTCACTTGAAATCATGGAAACTTCTGAGTGGGCTAATGTGATCACTATTCTTAAAAATATGGAAACCAGTAAGTGGAAATAACAAATTAACTCCCACCTTTTTTTTAAATTATTGCTATTATTTTCTTTTTAATAAGTCTGGGCATTCTAAGTGTGCTTTCATTTTCTTACAATTTTGATATGCATGAACCCAAAGGAAATTAAACCATTTTATATATTTATTCAAAATAAAACAGTACCAAAACCTGTCATGATTTCACTTACTAGCTTGCCAAGTCAGTAAATACTGAAAAAAGGCTAAGTGAGCTGCCCAAGCTTCTCCTGTTCTTCACTGGCAGAACTCTGAACTCTAGGAGCTCTGAATTTCATATAATTACTCTCTTTGTCAGCATCCAGGGAACGGTAAAGTGTCTCATTATTTCAAGAAAGTTACTTTAACTATGGCACTGTGACCTTAATAATTGCTTCTTGCTTTCAGCCACATTGTAATGACACAAAAAACAATCGCATGGTATTTTGATTATTATGTATAGTAAACCTCTTTACTCTTCTTGTTCTCTCTAGTGCTTTCTCCCTCCTCCTCCCTGTATCAAAACATCCAAATAAATGGAATCTCAGAGGAGTGCTAAGAAGGGGAAGACTGCTGCAGCTCAGGCCAGAGAGACTCTCAAAACCGTGTGTAGGCTGAACAAAATATTATCCTCTGCCTTTGTATAACAAAGCTAAAAATACTGCCTGTGCTTCAGAGTTGCAACACAGATGAAAAAAAAAAAAGGCATGATTTATTCTGCTTGTGCAAAGCTGCTCTGATACTTCTAATTCCAGAATGATCCATGTAAGTGACAACTCTTACACAAATCTCCTGTAGAGAGAAACAAAGGATAAAATCTTTAAGATTGTGAAGAATTTAGTATAAATTTCTCATTTATGCTAAGAAACCTTTGAGAACTGAAATAAATTCTAGGAGGCTATGAAATATAAGGAATGTAAATAAAAATCTTTCTTATTAATTATATTTTCCTCTTAAGATCAAGAACAGTTGAAACCTATGCATAATAACTTGTCTTTGATATTTCACTAAAACAATGGCATTCTGGTTACTTGGCACTGCTCCAACATAAGCAAGAAAGAAAGGGAAGCCCCATTTCCTCCTCAAATATATGGGATTTTTCAATGAGGCATATGGGACAAACACAAGTCAGATTGACCCTCAGATTCCAGATGGCACTTGAAATGCTGTCAACTGGAAAGAAAATCCAGATGCAAATCTGACATGTGAGACAACAGGCACATCTGAAGAAGAACTCAAACACCCCAAGAGAGAAAAATCTAACCCAAATCCATGCTGGCTAACAGCATGCTTAGTTGTTACATCTTCTGAATACAGGAAAATGTGTTGTCTACTCTGATTTTCTCCAGGTGACCCCCATTTTCCATGTTGCCATTTCTGTCATCTATCTACATTTTCTACCAAGCAAACTCATTCCCCGGAATAATCTTTTCCTCTTCAGTATTTCTATGTAATTCTATTATTCTGCATGGGCAGAGAGCTTGACAAAGTGAAAACAGAGTCCTCTGCATGTGACAACAATTTCCAGAAGTTTTTGGTTACTATTGATAGCAAAATGTCTAAGTGAGGCAAACCGAGGGTGAGATTTTACAGCATTTATTGATTTTCTCCTGCACAGATGTTCACAAAATCATCTGGATCCCATGGGGCAGCACAGTGGTGTGCATTATTAAGAAAGACAGCTTAAAAGTGACACAATCCCACAAATCCAGAAGCCATAATCAGTTCCTGATTCAGACCACTCTCCAATCCTGAGCTAATGCAGCTGTGATGAACTTTCAGTCTGAGAGGAAACTACTTTGACAATGGTTCCACTTTTTTGTTGTTGAATTTGCCTACAAAATAAGTTGAGTTCTAAACTTATTATTTTTTCATATGTCTGGTTGACAGTCAGGAATTTGTAGAAATATTGTCTTGTTTACACCATTGATAATAAACCATACCACTGAATAGCACACTCCTGTTCCCAGAAGTGAGGATGTAATTCTGTCCTCACTTTTGAGTTGAAGATGGGATTGCATGCTGACAAGACATGACACTAATGACACTCCAATTAACATATGCATTTTAAATATGAAATGTATACAGACAGAATGGGTAAAATGTGTATTTGTACAAGAAATGCATTATTTTAGAGAGAAATTCAGTTAATGTTTTAGCAATGTAGTGCATTCAGATAAAGATCAGACCAGACATAGTGAATGGACAGGCTTTCAGCTGATGAAATGTACTGAGACATTGCATCTGGTCAGCCTTAATGCTTCACAAAACAACAGAATGTGAAAGAAAAGAAAACAAAGTCAGAAATTTACAAAAACATACTGTTTTTGTTTTTGTTTTGTTTTGTTTGTTTTTTGGTTTTTTTTTTGGTATGTTTCTCAGAAAGACTAGAACAATCTCCAGGACATTGGCTTAACAGTATACGGCACTTCCAAGATTAGCATTTTTGCTGAATCCCAGGCTTGCAAATAATGTTTCAATATTAACCACAAAAATATAGAGAATATCACAAACAAAAATCTTTTTAGATTTTCTTGCTATAGCAGCAAGAACAATAATAATCTGCTTCAAACTATACATTCAAGTGTAGTTTAGATGCAGCATAACAATTTTTATCTTACTTGAGAAAGTACAAACTCTGTAGTACTCTAATGTGAACACGGTGGCTGATTTAGCTTAGAACAACTTGGAAAACTGATAACAATAAATTTCCAAACAGTGAAAAAAATGTAACCATCCTAATAATACTTTTTGTGTGCCAATCAGGTAGTTTTGATTGAGTAAATAACATCACTAGCATTTGCTCTTGCTCCCAGTCTATTCCAGTGGTATAATTTCTTTGGACAATCAAGCCTCAGATAGACATGACATATTGCACATAATTTTGCTGAAAGAGTGGCAGATTCTAATTCCCTGCATCATCTGTCTCTCAGGAAGGAGGAACTAGGTGCTGCTTTTCATTCTGGCATCACCACTTTCACTGCAACTCCTAGTTTCCTTGACAAAGACATAAGAACAGCACACCTACACTTACAGCTGGGGTTGAAACCATTGGGAATTTTGCTTTCCCTAAGCCTCAGAAGTAATTATCTTGCATCTTTTCCCAAGGCTTAAATGTTGTGCTTCTGAAAAACATAGAAGACCACCCCTAAATTCTCATGCAAGGGTATGGAGCCTGCCACCCTCTTTTTATACTTAAAAACAACACTTCATTCAAAGACATTTTAATTTCGTAGGTTTTGGGGTTCTAAACTATAATCAGCACTTCATTAAAAAAATACCAAGAACTGCTTATTCAGCCAATTGCCATGTCTATTGCACTATGGTAGTCACTTTGTACAACATCAATAAATGGCTGCTTGTAGAGGGACAGACAGAATTCTGCTTGTGCATGGGATAAACCCTTACTACTATCTTATGCCTTTGGCACAGGCTGAAGTTTTAATCCCCCAACTATTATGTCTTTGGAATGAAATGAATTTTTGCAAAGAAAAAAAAAAAAAAAGGAAAGGGATAAAAATGAAGGGATTTGGTGAGAAGCTGAAATCAGGGAGAAGCCGTGTGATTTTAGATACTTTTATGCTTCTGTGCATGTCTTGCTGCCTCTGAGAACAAAGTGTTGAAATGGTCATAAAAAAGAGGCATCATCTGCATCCACAGTAGTGGTTCTGCACTATCCATAAAAAACACATTACTATGGAACTGCCGAAATATCACATGTGATATGTACACCTCTGTCCATCTTGAACTGAGTAATCTGGGGTAAATCATGGTGGTACAGGTATGTTTATTACATTAACCGGTTTGGAAAAAATCAACACCTTTTTTTCAAGCTTTCATCTAAGCTTTCATTCAAGCTTTGTCAATACTGAACAGAAGATAAATTAAGTAAATAATGTATGGTGCATAGGAGAAAAATACCTTAAATAGTGTTTTAATGGCTGCCATTTGCTGCTGGAAGATATACTTCTAAATGCTGCTGAGATTTACACACATTTAGGTAGAAATGATGAACATCAGTTACATGTCGGTATTAGTTAGTGATAGACTGTGACACTTTGTTCCATTTGTCATCTGCTGCCTCATTTCTCATGACCACCCCTCTCCTTTGGCATAACACACTGGGCGGCACCAGGAGGTTTACTTTAGATAGAAAACTGGCCTTTTACTGATCACCAGCCAAATGAATCCTGAGGAGACAGCACATGAAGTATTGGCTTTTGTTCTGTTTGCATTGATGTGAGCACGCTCTTGCCTTCCAGTAAATAAGTAAAAAATAATGTATTTACTCTCCCCAGAGAGAGTTGTATTACTCAGTTTAGCATTAGGGTGGTGGCAGTGAGTAGGTAAGAGGGAAAAGAAAACAGCGGATTAGTTCTTGTGAGGTGCAGGAACTGAAGATCTAATCTTGTACATTAGATTTGATGCTCAGTATGAAGTTAGGTAAAAAGCGTTTAGGTCTAAAATCAAACAAATGGATGAAAAGAAATGAAGAGACATTCTATGTCTCAAATATACCAAAGAATTCATCACAGATATCTGGGAGAGTATCCCCACTATCCAACAGGTCAAAAGGAAACATTTAAAATGCTATTTATTTGCAATATAATTTAGCATTACAGATTTTTGGTTAAATAATTGCAGAGTGATGACAGGAGTAGGTTCTATAATTGACACTCCAGTATTAGCTGTAAAAATATTTTGTGACAGTTCTCTGTGATAAAGGGTCCTCTATCTTGAGCCATTTATTGAGCACATACACATAATCTAGTAGGACATCATCTGATCAAAGTTGGATACCTGACTTTGGTGTATGAGAATCATAAACTTGCTTACGGTCTATCTGGTCTGCAAACACTTCCCCATAGATCATCCAATAAGGCATGTAAAAAATGTTTTTTGCCAGCTTCCATGACGGCTCCTCATTGGGGAAGAGAATGGCTTGTCTTGCAACACCGAAGCTCATCAGAACCACCAACATGATGATGACAAAATACATCATATCTATCATCTGAATGTCATGAGAAGAAAAGAGAGAAAGAAAGAGAAAGGACAAGAGTTGAATGTATTTGTCCATATTTCCATTACGTGCTGAAAAAAAAAAAAAGGTTTAAACCTCAAAAATAGAATTTTCAGAAACAATTTCTTGTCAGTGTTATACACAGCATTTCATTTTCAAAGAAGGAAAATGGTATTCTTGTGTCCTTGGTTTTGCCCACTGTTGCTTTTAAGAGCAATTTAAATGTTATGAATAGACTTGAAAACACGAACTACCATCTGGTCACACCAGTTGCCTGAACAATAAATAATACAGGTTCACTGGCATCAATAGCCCGGTCAAAGTAAGGGTTGCAAGTCGATGTATTGTTTATAACTGCCTACTAACAACTGTACTAAAACAAAAAGGCTGAAATAGATTATCTTATTTTCTGGTACTCATTGTCTCGGTGCAAAGGTAGGAAGCTGCATCTAACATAAGGAGTCACGGGTGGCAGAACAGCCTGTTATGGCAACATAAGGGACATCACAGTGGTAACCAGTTAGAAAGGAAAGCTACAGGCTGGATGAGAAACCAGCCTGGTGATGGGGACTGACAAATGCCATATTACCAAAAAAAATTGCATCGAACGCAGACACTCAGACTATTTTTCTGCATTGCTGAATACCTCATTAGCATATACACAACTTTAATTAGTGCCAACAAAAAGTGTCTACCCATTCAAAATGTTCCTGGAAAAAGTGGGACATCAGTCCTAGGAGGTTCTCAGCGGAAGCTGAAGATTAGAAAAGCAGCTGTGCCGGCAGTATTAGTAAGGCCCTCCAGAGAGTGGAGCAAAGTGAGAGCCCTGGGCACTAAACAGGTATAGCATAGATAGGACCTACTGACTGTGAAAAAAATGTGAGTCCTGCATGGCCTCCGCTAAGCTCCCTCAAGAAGTTGTAGTTATACATTTAGTTACAGGCCTTTATTTATAACAGAATTATGACAGAGCCTTTTTTTACAGCTATGGAAGTCTCCAGCCAAAGTTCAACCAAAGGGCTCTAAACCTTCTGAGTCTCAAACCCTTCAGCCTGTATTCTCTGGCACAGCTGCATGCTGCGTGCCTTGCAGGGCAGGCAGGTGTGCAACCCATGTGCATCTCAGGTGGTGGTGGCCTGACAGCCCCATGCTGCAGCTTGAGAGCAGGCTGGCTCATTTCATGTGGATGAGGTGGGGGACTCTTTCAGCAGATGGATCTGCCACTGTTGTGGGGGTACTGCAGCTCTGAAGCACAGGGAGAGAGATAGGAGATTGAAGAAACACTGAGAAACTGACCAATAGAGAAAACAGAGGAGTAAACAGAAAGGGATATTCTTGTATTAAAAGAGAGACTGGAGAGAAAGAGACCTGCAGGACAGGGTCCTGCTGGGAGAGCCTTAAGAAGCCAGAAAGATGGAACTGGGGAAGGTGAAAAGAAGCAGGGAAAAATGAAAATATAGAGGTACTTAAAAAAATGCAGGAAAGAAAGACGGAAAGAAAAAAACAAAACACAACTAGGGAGGTGGGAGAGGAAAACAAATGCCTTAAAGAAATATGAATCATATACATTCCTATGTTATTCAGGGCATTCATCTTTCAAGAAAACCCGATTGAAGAGGAATTCCAGATGATTTTATCTCAGAAGGCAACCTGAAATGGGAAGCTGCATAATTACATTTAGTTCTTGCTGTCTTCAGCAAAGAAATATAGTGATGAAACCTGTATCCTCCCTTCTTCTCTGATGTTTTCAGGTTGAAATATATGATGTAATACGATTTAATAAACATAAAAATTATTTGCTGGAAATTTAAGAAAATTTCTTACATGCTTACAAAGTTTTTGAGAAGGTTTGAACTCACATTGCAAGACATTAAATTATCAGTCTTATTTACTCTCTTTTCAAGCACTTTATTATCTTTTCCCTCCTTCAGTGTGTTCCCTCTCAAAAAGTTCACTATCTCAAAATCTGGTGAATTAGATAGTTGAGTTTTCACTGACTGTAGGCAGTGTGTAAAGCCCTTTGGCCTGTAGGGTCAAATTACAATTGCTGTTTTAACAAGGCAATGTTCTTTTCAGTCATTTTGTAGAAAATTTTAGTCACTTATGTTAAAAAGTGATAAAATGAGGTGTTTGGTGTAGTTTTATTAACAAGTTGTCTCTTATTCTCCTCTTTAAAAAAAACTTTAATTTTTAAATTTTTAAATTTTTTTATTTTTTTTCCAATAGAAACAACAAAAAAGTGGACATTCCCACACAGGAAGAAAACTAATATACTTCTGACTCTCTTGGCATGCTACAGTGGTCGCATTTCATTCCTAAATAGAAATGAAGTAAATATACTCTTGTGCAGAGATTAGAAGAACGGTATAAGAAGTTCATTCTGCAGCTGAAATTAGTTGACAATAATAAACTTGTCCATTAGCTTTCTCCTCCTCTCTCCATCCTTACTTCTAAACCTCTCAAGTCCATTTGTGCCCTTTGCATATTTGCTCATAAGGCCCAGAGGCAAAACCTATTACAGCTGCTGTATTGGGTGCAATGGAGAGGCAGGTAAAGGGAAAGTTGCTGAACACTGGAAAGATGGAAGGAGTCATCCGTTCTCTCCTGAGTCTAAAATTTGTTTAAAGAGAAGCCCAGCATACAAGCTCAGTCTGTGGACTGCGTTAAGTGTAGTTTGCTGAGGAGCTCAATAGCTGTGATAGGCTTACTCTGAAGAAATATGTAGAAATTGATTGTCTCCACAGAACTGAATGGTACTTGCAAGATGATGAAAAAGAAAGAACGCAAGGAGATAGATGGGCATGTGCTTTGAAAATAGGCAGTGCAGCAGGGAGTGAGCAGGTGCAACTCTCAGGGAAGTCTGTGCATGTTATAAATTGGGTTGGCCGTTGCACATGGGAATAAGATGGCCAGAAAACAGATGTGAGGGGCAAATTTATGTAACTCAAACCAGCTGGGCATTGCATGTGTTTGGGCAAAGTAAATGTGTCAGAGTTGCTGAGTGCATGGAAAACCGGATGAGGCATGGAAATCAAATAACAGGAAGGCACAAAATAAAATAACTTCCCTCCTTTACAAATGCTCACACCTTCACAGTATTCTGGTAGCTGAATTCAAAACCCTCTGTGTGGGTACCCAAACCTACAGTGGTTAATGATTTTCCTACATTTGTTTTCCAGTGAAAGCGGAGCAAAGCTTAATTCATGTGAGAATGACAAAGGGATGGAAATTATTTTATTTTGCTGTTTTCAACCATTTCCCTTCTGTTGGCCATGGGAGAAAAAAAGCCACTGTTTATACTACTGGGGAAGCTGGGCTCCTATCAGCCCTCCATAATTCTGACTGTTGGAAGGTTGTTATCCACAGCCAATCCGTTTAATATTGAACTGGCTTTTGAATGGCCTTCGCTACCACCACAGCTCTGAAACTTTTGGTCATGTCATTTGTGAAAATTAGTGCACAACAGAAGGATAGATGTTTTTTCAGGAGTTTTATACATGGTGTGCTGTGTAATTCCTAATGACCACCATATTCTCCGATGAAGACACATGGTGCAACTGGGACAGGAATGAAACAAACAATAATGCAGTGGTTCCTCTGTGGCTTTGTTTTTTTTACTTGTCTTGATGTCCTTTTCCAGTAATATACAGCAAGAATTCTGGAGTGTTTTCTCTGCTGCACTTTGGAGCTCTGCAAAGCCTCTCCCATCAACAAATGCCTGCTATTACTACTGAAATATATATATATATATATATTTATAAAACTAAAGTAAAAATGTATATATCCAGCATCAAATATTGCTTGATTTCCATTACATGAGCTCACTATTATGTGAATTATTAATATTCCTGCCACACTATATAGATGTGATACGGTCAGGGGACAGAGGCTGCAGTTAGGCACATTGATTTCTCACCTCTCAGGGATACACCTGAACAGGCAGAGTGCAAGGATATGTGGATATGGAATAAAATATAGAGAGGTCAGCCATAATCATAACTATTACAATTCCAAATATACTACACCTACAACAACACAATTTCTTTAAGAATCTCGAAGTATGGAATCTTTTTTTCTTTTAACTTTAATGAAATTAAGAGTTTGCAACAATTTTGCAATTAACTAAGAGTTTGTACCCTTTGGATTTATTGTAAACGATGTAGGATGACTTTGGTATTCAAGAGAGATCTAGCAGAAAGATAAGCAATACATTATCAAATACAACAAGAAGTGTCTAATTGCCAGTTTTGGGGGATCTGTGCAGATGACTTGAATCAAGAAGGACCTGATTTTAGTTTACATGGAAACACTAATCTGTAAAAAAAAAAAGTGATTACACTGACAAGTCCAAAGACACTGAGTCAAGAACGTTATTGCAGAAAATAGAAGCCATAAACCAAATTTTCTTACCATTTTTCCAATCATCATAACGTACGGTCCCAAGTACTTGTTTACTCCGAAGATGTCCAGTAGCCGTATGTACCAGTAAATGATGTTCACACAGTATATCACCCGGCCATCGCTCCGAAGTGGCAGATCTTGCAAACGGAGGACCATCCCAACAGAGAACAGGAGGATAGCAATGAGATCTGTAACATTCCAGTACTCCTGCAGCCAAACTTTCACTTTCTGTAACAATTTTCCAGGCTCTGACATCAGTATCTGAAGGAAAAAGGACATGGAGAGGAGCCAGCTGAGTTGTCTTAATTTAAGCCTGTATAAAGGTAAAGTAATCAGATTGGTGCTACACAAGCCAGAATCAAAGCTGATTGCCTCCTTACACATAAATACCTTGTACAGTCTTTGATTTCTTTTGTGAAAGCTTGAACATGAAACTCAAGTGTAGTATAACCCTGCAACTATATACACAACATGTAATTTCTTTTGATAGAAGGAAGAAAACCTCAATTCTTCTGAAATCCCCACAAAATAAGAAGAAATTTTTGTTTGACTTTCTATTTTTCAGATTGATCTTAATTATTCTTGGAATAGGGGAGAAAACATAGAAAGGTACTTAATAATTTCACTTTAGATTTAAAGCTTTAGATTTAAAGAAAATTATTCTAAGATGTCCATGAAACTATTAAGAAATAATTTATGACCATAAAGATCTTGATTTTGCATTAAATTCAGTAAAGATTAGTTCCTACTTGGATCCTATTTGGAGTTTTTGAAAATTCATTTCCACAGCTGAGAACATAATTCATAAAAATAATTAATCTTACCTTATGAATTTATCATCACTCTACTTGCAAGATCATTTGGGAGAGCTGATTGTTCCCCTGAATTACTGTTGAAACTATTCTGAAAATGATTTCTATGAATAATTCCTAGCTTTCAGTCAGTTAACAAGCTGTTTGTTTTCATTTTCTATATTTAGCCCAAGAACGTTTGAGCAGACTCATGCAGTTCCTTGAAGAGAGGAACGCCATTCTTACAATTTTCTTACAGTTCATTTTCAGAATGAATTTCAGGCTCGTTTTCCACGAACATCTGGTTAGGAATCCATTCCCACAAAAGTTCTTGAAAAACTTTTGTGGAAAGGAGAATTTGGGGTGAATATAAATGGGGTGAATTGGGATGAGATAAAAATGGCACACGATTCCTGCTGGCAGGCTGCCACCTATGGAGCCAGGGATGCCTTGATTCCATCCGTGCTGCGGAGCCCTCGTGTGGCTGCCGCCTCCCTCTTCCATTTTCTTTCTGTTACAGATACACAATTAATGAATTTTCCTCTGATCCTTTTGTTTATAAAGTAGAATTTGCCACGTGGTGTTTGAAACTTACCTTTGGAGTCTAAGTGGCTGTTGCAGGAGCATTTTTCCTCTAGTCCTCAAAAACACTGGCTACAGATTGGACACACGTAGATGGCAACAAATTCAGCCCAAGGGTACAAATGTGCTATTTCAGTTGAGGTCAGCAGGACTCACACCCACTCACATCAGGGCTGAATTTGGCCTCTGGTGCCATTGTGGAATAAATGCACATTTGGCCAAGTGAAAGTGGCACAGCTGTAGCTGCGGGTTGGAAAGACAATGAGGTGCAGGGGACGACAGAGCACTGTCACACTGCTGGCAGATCGAGTGCCACATTTAAATACTCCTTCTGCTCTACATGCCTGCTTAGCATCTTTAGGGAGATGCATTCTATTTCTTGACATAATTAGCAAGAAATTTCAAAATTAAATGGGGGAAAACCTATTAGAAATGTGCTGCAGTATTCAGCATGGATATAATTTTTTCCCCCAGTTACAGCTATTTTTATTGCAGGCCTTTGCATGAGATACTTGGGCAGATAGAATAACTGTGAATTTCGAGTGAACTCTGGATGCAGACTTTTTGGTTGGCATATCCCTATGTCTTTGTGCCCATTCCATAATACTGTGTCTCCCTCCCCTCTCCCTAAAACATGCTTCATACTTCATACCTGAACAACATTTCAAGGATAGTGGCCAAGCTTTAAGATATATCAGATGCTTTATGCCTTATTTGTGAATGCTATTTAACACTCATCATGCAGAAATCTGAATAGAGAAATTCAATGGAAGCAAAGGTTTTATACAGAGAAGAAAGGCACTCTCAATTTTAAATGGAAGAAGGTTGTCAGAGCTATTGAAAACACCTGAAGGACAATGTGATCACTGGTCACAGTGAACACAGATTTGTGAAGGAAAGGTTCTGATTAACTATTTAAATTTCTTTTTATGACAAGGTCACCCATCTAGTTGACAAAGGGAAACCAGTTAATGTTATCTTTTTGGATTTCAGTGAAGGTTTTGATATTGTTTCTCGGTATCCTTCTGGATAAAACATCCGGCATGCAGCTAGAGAAAAACATAATGCTATTGGTGAGCAATTGGCTGACGGGTCAGGCCCAAAGGATTATAGTAAATGGGGTTACATCAAGCTGGCAGATGGTCAATAGCGGGGCTCTCCAGGGCTCCATTTTAATACTGGTTCTCTTTAAAACCTTCAAGAATGACTTGAGTGTAGGACTAGAAGGTGTTTCAAGCAAGTTTGCTGATGAAACTAAACTGGGAGGAGCTCTTGACTCCATCAAGGATAATGAGGCCTTGCAAAGACATCTAGATGGACTGGAGAGCTGGGCAACTACCAACCACATAAAGTTTTTTAGTAAGAGCAAGTACCAGATTCTGCACCTGGGAGGGGGCAACCTCAGCTATACCTACAGACTGGGAGATGAGACACTGGGAGTCTTGGTTGACAGCAAGTTGTATGAGCCAACAGTGCGCACAGGCAGTCAGGAAGGCCAACTGTATCCTGGGGTGCATCAAGTATGGCACTGCCAGATATTTGAGGGAAGGGGTAGTCCCACACTGAAGTGCACTGGTGTGTCCTCATCTGGAGTACTGTGTGCAGTTTTGGCACCACAGTACAAAAAAGGACATAACATTATTAAAGAGCGTCCAAAGGAGGGCTACAAAGATGGTGAGGGGAAGTTTGAGGAGTGGCAGAGGTCCTTTGGCTTGTTCAGCCCAGAGCAGGACAGGCTTAGGGGAGGTCTCATTGCAGCCTTCATCTCCTCACAGAGAGTGGAGGGGTAGTGCTGAGCTCTGCTCTCTGGTGATGTGATAAGAGGCAAAGGCATGGAGCTGCTTCAGAGGAGCTGTCTTATGTGTTTGGGGTGACTTTACCTCTCTCATCTTCTCTATTCCCAGAGTGAAAATGTACGAGATGACAATCCATTCCTGTGTCGATGGCCAGCGATCCATCTTCACTAACACTATGTAATTGAACAGCATTAAGTAGCCTATATATGCCAGCTGTAAAGAAACAAAATGAAATGAATATCAGTAGTCATCACATTTATACAAGCAAGCCACTTCCTCTTTTATGATTTGATATTCCTAATTCCAGTGTACCCAGAACTTTAAACAGACAAAAGAGGAATCAGAGAGCTTGTCCAAAAAAAGCTTTGTCCAAAAAAGCTCACATTAGCACATACAATATGGAATCTGCAAAGTGCACAAACAAATATCCTCTTCTCTAGCCACATCTATCTCTCCAACAAAACTGTATTACTGCAGTCTCCTCTGATTGTCCTATAGTAACAGTCCTGTCACATACCACGGTGCCAAACACCAAAAACTAATTTACTAAGTTACATATGTGAATATTTCTTCCTCATTTACTTTCTAACATTCATTACTCCACTAGCACACCTCCTCTGTGCTTCTCCTTGTTTGTTTAACTTGGACTCACTCTGACATTTCACATCCTTTCTGCTGGCACCCAGGCACAATCTTGTCTGGCACCCAGAATGTTCTATGTATTGATAGACACGTCCTCAACCAGTATATTGCTGCCTTAATTTCCACTACGATTCCTCCCCAAAAACTTCTAAACATACTGATGCAGCAATGCATAGTCATGCATTTATTTGCCTTATATTTTCTGCAAGGTTTTGAGTACAGTGGTGGTTTTTTTCTTTTTCTTTTTCTTTTTTTTTTCCCCCTTCTCTGATACATCTACCTTCTGGCCTAATCTTTCATCCAATTGTAAACACAAATTAAGACTCTGTTTTTTTGTCCATTCTGAGTATAGTCAAATGGTTGGTCAGAAAAAGATAAGATGAGCAAACTGCATCATCAAAATCACAAAACTCACAGAAGCCAAGGTGTCACACTGGAATGTGGGCTATAGCATTTCTGAGTTTCTGTAGCTGGGCTCTGTGGTGAATCCAACTTCCTACCTACTTTGCCTTTCGAACAGCAGCCCTACAAGGGTATGCATCTAAAGCCAAATTTAAATCAGAGAAAAGATTATTCAGTTCCATACATGAACTTTTATAATTGCTGTTGCAGAAAACTTACTGCACACATCTGTATTTCAATACAACTCTTTCTCGATTGCACATTACTCACAACTATTAAGTGTTCAGTATCAGACTTCAGATGAAACAGCCATAGAAAAGCTTGGGACTTTTAGGGTAGGACTATTTAAGTGGTCAGAATCTCAAAGAATGGGATTAATGGTCTTCTCGACTTGGCTTATGCTTTGTGTAGAAGTCACAGGATTCTTGCTTTCCTTTCAGTTGCTGAACTGAAGGATACATGAGAAAATTCTTTGTGTTGGCTATCAATATCTGCACAGATAAGGAAGCCAATCGAATCATGGCTTCTCATTCACATAAAAAAGAGCAGGAAGTGATCACACTGGTCCTTCTGTTTGTGAGTGATGATAGATTGCAGCTCTGGATAATCTGGAATTACCTTGGTCTTCCCTTACCACTCCTGAAGGAAACTGACCATGTATACTGACTTAGGTCAGTATCTAGGTATCAGCTGAGTCAACAGGAACTCAATTTGGGTGGGCAGAACTATACATGCCTCGCTGAAACAACACCTACTACACTGAAAAAAAAAACCCACCAAGAAACAAACAAAAAAGACAGCGTCACACAGCATACCTCTTAGAACATGTTTATTAGATCTGATGCATAACCATTTCACTGCAATCTTATTAATTCGGTCTGACTCAGCAGCCTTTGCTGAGCATTTGTAGTTAAAAGAATCAGGACACTAAGGTGGCAGAAACCGTAGGAAACTCAGCGTAAGCAAGAGCTTTTCATTTTTATTGGGTTTCATGTGAGCTTTTTTTGCGTTTTTTTGTCAATTCATATTTACTTGAAAATTTTTGCTTGATAAAACAATTATATCTTGATTTAAGAATGAAGTGATGCTAAAATCACATCATTTTCACCCCAAGAAACCAGCCCTTCCGACAAGGGTGCCATCCTCCCTGTCCCTCTCTAAACCTGTAAATTCAGCCTTCCAATCTCACACTGCTGTCAAATCTCACTGCAGATACCTATACAGATACTCAAGATTTTTTGAAAGTGCTACTATACAAATAGCTGAACCCCCTTTATCTTGCTCTTACTTAGAGCTTGGGGTTGCCATCTTCACCCCTGAAGCTAGTACGTGAAGAAACTAAGCAGAAGAATACTTGTTAAAAAGTTTCAAGGATGTATTCCTCCCTACAATCCTGTGGATACTGTCATATTGTGTATACTTGAGTACACATCACAATAAAGGACAAACATGTATATTGCAAGAGAGTTCTTCAAGAATGAGACTACCTTCCTCTCTTCTCACTGACTGCAATAATTACATGATCAAAAAGTGAAGTGGTCCTAAGATGAAAAAATTGGGACAGAGCTGTTCTGATGCTTAGAAAATGACTTTTGCCAGATGTTCAATGCCTCTTTTAACTCCTCAAGGAGGTAGAAATGTGTCTTCTTAGATCATGCTAGCATTTCAGTCTAAAGCTTATATTTAAATAGGGATAGTCTTCATCTTCCTCTTGGGCAGTCTGTGGGATGAAACCTGTGAATCAAGCCTTTCAGTGCAACAGTTACAAAAGAGAATAGAGTTGTTGACTTTCAAAACTATTTCACAACAGAGAGGAAGACAAAAAGCTGTTTATAAATTTTCTTACTTAGTACTTACAAAATATTTCTTACTGAAAATCCCCCACAATTAAACCACTCTTGTATATTTTAAGAATGAAGGTGGATATTGAGACATATAGAATAACAGCAGATAGTTAGATGTAGAATAAACAAACAATTTTAAATATCATGCAATAAAGGCATAGTCACCTTCCATTTTGGGCTGTGAGATGTAAGATTTTGAGGACTGCTTCTGAAATCTAGGATTAACATTTCTGTCTATATGCTTGCGAAAAGGCAGCTAGGCTGTGCAACTCTAATCCCATTTGAGTTATTTTCTTTTTGCTTTTCAATATAGCCAACTGGTCAAGAACTACAACCAGAATGCACCTTAATTTGCTCTTGAAACACAGGACAGCCAAGATCCACCTTTAATAAGTGACCTCGAATGAGATCTGCCTCAGGACATAAAACTGTAGAAACAGGTCTAAATGGAAACACAATATTGATTTCTTTCTCCTATTTCAGAATTGAAATAACAGAGAAAGCCAGGATGCTTCTTTCTGTTTACAGTGAAAAGACTTTTCTGGTTATGCATAATACATATTGCAATTGATAATGAGACTAAGCTGCTGCTGAGCAGTTTCTAGATTCATTGGGCTGATTAACCTTTAATGGCTACAGTTCAGCATGTAGTAACTCCAATTGCCAAACTGGAGCTATTTGCTAGAATAAGCAGTCTACCACAGTTTGATCTCTGTAGATGTGAGTTGCTCCTGCTGTCTGTAGACGTATTGTTTGGATTCCAGTAATGCATTTTTTCTTTTAAGTCATCTTCAGGAGGTGGGAGAGAAATTCATTTCTTTGTGATTTGCTGTGCATTCAGCAGAATGATTGAAAATTTAACTGGGAAGGACCATGAGAAATCAACTAGCCAATTCCAGACTGCCAATGTGGAATTAATTGCAATGTGCCATATTGGACATATGTTTTGATAAGATAGACTTAGAAATTATTAACAATGGAGAATCTACTGTTTCCTTACACAATTTATAACAATATGACTCAGAACAGTTAAAAGCTGTTTCCTAACATTTTGCCAACAACTGTCTTGCTGCAGCTATATTCAGCAAGGATTCTATTCCTCTTTTCAGCAACTACCATGTATTTGAAGACAGAACTTCTGCAGTCATTTTATTCCTAGAGAAAATAACCTCACTTCCTTAAGTCTTTCCCCTTAAGTTGTATTTTACAGACCTCTGGATAAATTTTTTATTTTCTTTTTTGTTAGTAGCCTTCAAACCAGTCCACATCTGTCATGTGATGCATAAAGTGAAATGGCTTACAGTACTCTAATTAAGTAGACTGAAAAGATTCATTTCTGTGTTTGTTTTACTTTTTGATCTCATCTTTCTATAATATAAATATAATGCAGTGCCATCTGCAAAACTTCATAATTGAAGTTTTGAGTGAAAATATCAAACAATACCTGATGTAGGAGAGACCCTAACGGAATCCTTTCCAATCCCTGATTCCAGCTGGATAGCAAGTAATTGATATATACTCCTAACAACCAATCAACAAAAAGCTTTGTATATTTAATAACTTCAATATGGCAATGATAAATTTACCTATGAGATTACCTAGAAAAGTTATTGACAATTTCTTGCTATAGTCAAAATATATTACCTTGTTTGTTTGTTTGTTTGTTTTCTATATCATGTGCACTGTCTGCTTCTTTATAACACAGGGATATTGGACTGGTTAGACAGAATTTAATATATACTGACTGCTTTCATAGTGTTGTTACCTTACGGCTACTCACAGCAACACTTTAATTAGACAGAGGCATTTGCAGACTAGTAAAACAACAAAGCAAAAATGTCCCAAGGAAAGATATGCTCTGCTGGTTTCTTATTTTCATCCATCATTATGTTATCTGATATCCTGATTAAAATCAGCCTCCTGCTGGGCTTAGTATTGGGAATTCTCCTATTTGGAATTCTTTGGGCACACTGACTTCAGCAAGCTACTTGTACTTGAAGAATAACCTAGAGTTAATCATTAAGTTCATGAATGAACATTTGAAACTCCTAGGTTAGCAAGTGCTAGATGACCACAAAAGATTAAGTTCTTTATGGATAAATCCTCCAATGCAGACAGATGAAGACTCTCAAAGAAATACACAATCTGATCTTAATTCAGTGTCAGTACTTGTCCATTCAGCCCAATCATAGAATCACAGAAACACCAAGGAGCAGCAGAATAACAAAAAAGATATCTTACTGTGTAAAACCAAAATTTGACAATGGGAGCATTGTAGAACTCGTAAATCTTTCTTCCAACAGGAATCAGTCTGTGCCTGCTCTGTACTTCTTCTTCTTCTTTCTTTCTTGAGGATTCTCCATTCCCCCGTCCCAGCATTGCCTACAAAAACAGACATCCTTATGTTTCTTTATTGCTGAAGGACAAATTAAGGTATTTTAAAAAGAAAAAATTAAAAAGGAAACTTTTCAAAGCTTATCTGATTTCTTATCTTTAGACAAAATCAGATGGCCATCGCTATGTGCAAAATGTTTTGTTCTCAGACTATCTTTTACGGAGGCAAACGCTGCTGTTTAGTTCCTTCTAAACTGCAACAGTAAAACTTCAGCAGTAGTGAACTCCTTGACTGGTGAACAAAAAATGAGATATGGAGAACATTTCTCCTTTTGTCTTTATAGACAGAAAGATTTTTTACCTGACAACAGTTTCTTATTATGTACAATAAACAAATGCAAACAGAAAACAGATAAGTTTTGTTTTTAAACAAAGAAAAGTTCGGAAGGTTGATACTGAAAGAGAACAGGAGGAAATGTGAATTAGCATTTGCTGGACTGGGAGCAATGAAGCTAAGGACTGTTTTCATGTTGATCATAGGATCCATTGCAAGCCATGATCCCATGGGCCATGAACTTCACATGGATGTAGAGGAATGACCAGTCGATTTCAGGGCTTTAGATCAAAAGGTCCTTCTACATCTCCACACCTTCTTCTATAATGAAGTCCTAGTGTGCTCGTGTACTACCTCAGGTTGGCTTGACTTCATTGTAACCACTGAACTTCAGACTTGCTGAAGATCTACAGGGAGCTATGGACTCTGTGTTCACTCTTAATGTCTTGTCCAGCTTCAAAGAGAAGTGGAAGGAGAGTCTACATTTCACGCACTCTGAAGTTAATGCTAATAAAAGGTTTCACTTTGTGTTTAGAGTACAGATTGATCTATTAAGTATTCTTAAAAGCAAATCTTTCGTGAATAGTATTGTATAGTGGATTTTAGGTCACTGTGCCCTGAGCAAGTTCTTACTACTTAGTTTGTGGCAGGAGCTATAGATTGCAGCACTTCGGCACATGAAAGCAACTGCTTGAATCAAGAGGCAACCATCCTAAGTACACAGGGATTGCATCATGATGCCTTTATTGAAATGCTTTTCTAATCCTTTTCTACAAGTAGATCAAATCATTTTTTGTACATTTATGTTAAATGAGCTACACGTTCAACATCCCTAAAGGTAAGAGTGTTCTCATCACAACTTAAAAATGTGGAAAATTAAGTCACTGAAAAAAGCAGTGAGATGCCAGACAGATTATCTTTCAGTGAAAAGGTCCTTCTTTTATTCTGTGTTCTCAGATTCAATAGGTTGTTCAGGGCATTCTTATGTAACTAATCAACTTCAGATGAGTTATTGAGCTATTTCATCTGATTCTAGTACCCTGCAATTCTCAATTCTCATTTCTCACATTTTTAAAAGTAAGTAAGAAATGGAAGAATCACAATTTTTCTCTTTTTTTTTTTTTCTTTTTCTTTTTTTTCCCCCTCTTTCTTTATCTTTTATTGTTTTTCTTTTCCCTTGTAGGTCTCATGTGGAGCAATTTCTACAAGTCTTTGGTCCCACAAAAGAGCAAGCTGTAATGATAAACTGGTCAACTTTTTTGTCTTTCATTTTAGGTATTTGTAACATTATTGAGACTATGATTCTAGACATTTGCTTGCTATTATTTCTATTTCAATCAAATATGCAATTAGTTTTTCTCACTGTTGTTATTACTGTCCATACGGTCTCTTATATACTTGAATTTGACCATCCACCTATGTTACCCTTCAAACTTGTAATAAAATAGAACAAAGATTCACGACACAAGCATATAATACCAAAACAAACATGTTTTAATTAATTTACCCATTTAATTTACCTTTTTATGCCTGCAGATTCCTAAGCTTATCCCCATAAATGTAAGTAAAACAAAGCATATTCAAAAATCAATGAAACTTCCTGATGATTCTCATGGAGCACTTTAAAACCCTTTAAAGTCCATTGATATTTTTGTAAGAAAGGAAAAAGATGTATCTACTTAGGAGAGAAGGAAAGTACTCATTAGGTGAGCAGACAGTCTGCAAGAACATGAGATGTATTGTGTATAACTATAGTAACAGAGGCCATACCACCTTCACAAAAGCCCAAGTATTATTATCTGAAATCTACAAAACCAAACTGATTCCCAACTCTATAACAAGGATTGGTTATGATTTTTTTGGGGAAAAAAAGTGCAATAGAATTCAAATATTTTGAAAATATTCTATCCCTAAGAAAGCAATTTCCCTGCTTCTCTCTACCTCCTGACACTGTCTTAGAGAAAACTGCCATCTGGCGCTTCAGATATTTCTGCAGCTTTTCCCAAGGCTTTGTCTCTGCTGTCCTCTGGTGCCCAAGAATTTTGCAGGAGAGTGGAAATAAATGCTGGCAGCTTAAACAAATGAGCAGTGCCATGCTTTAGCAAAGGGGATTGTTTTACAATTCTTCACAACTATATGTATTTACTAATTCTGAGAGTCCCTCAGTTCTCACTGAAATGAATGAGTTGTGTGTGATTTTAGGATAATGTTCCATCAGTACATGGATTTATGCACATGGATGCTGATTTCTTGTTTGTTACTGCTTTCTTGTTAATAAATGATGCTCTAATTTTATCTCATTATGTTTTTGAATTAATGGTGTACTGTACTGTACTAACCTCTCCCCTCCTCCATGCTACAGATGGGGAATTGCTCTGAGATGGCCAGGGATTAGATTTGACCTAATGTCTCCCACTGTTAATTATATCACGGTATTAACAATTCGAAAATCCTCCCCAATTAGAGACACGCAGAAATAATTTCAGTCACAGTGTTAACAGAATAGCTGCAATGCCAAACAAATGTGTTTCCACTCGAAGGAGAAAGCAAGAGGGTGGGAATAACTGAAGACACTGCTCTGCGTGGGCGACATCTCTTTCTCTAATACACAGTTTTGTTCATGATTCAGTATGAGTCATGCAAGGTAAGCCTGACAGCAGTGTAACAGTAAATTACTGTACAACTGCATCACTGTAGCCTGAGGGGGTTGATGCCTGCGTGCTTTTTACATGGAGATTTTCTAATCAGGATGCTGGTGGGTTCATTGTTGTTTCCTTCCCTCCTTCTCCCTTTTGTTTCATTTAGTTTAGGACTGATCATTGACAAAGAACCAGGGCAGTTTTGGGCTCTGCATTTTTTGCATTAACCTATGTTAATGATCTAGTGATAATTTAATCTTCTTTTATAATTAAATGATGGGAGTTTTAGTCCAGCTATTATGACCACAAGCTCTTCATAGTTTATCCTTAGTGAAATGTACATGCTGCACATAGACTTAACATGTACTCACAAAGAAACTGGTGTGGAAATGGTACACAGCTGGGTGGATTTACCACTTACCTCTCCCTGAACAACCCCTTGCACCCTGTGGTGTGCAGCTCCATGCTAATTGCTCTAGAGCAATCATTCTCTGCATTGAACTACTGGCAGGAGAAAGTGTTTAGTGCCTTTGAGTTATAGGTTTTTCACCTGCTCAGGTTCTTTAAGATGAAGAAGAGATAAAGCACCAGGAGCTCAGTCCTCCTGACTGCTGACCACAGCAAGAGATGCAGAGTGCTGAAGCAGTTGCACAGCAGAAGCACGTGAAGCTTCTGAGCTTAATGAGGAGGAAATTCCTTGTTATGGAGAAGGCCAATGCTGGCCCTTCTGCTGCATGAGCCCCGGCACCTTGCACTGCTGTTTTTCATATGGGCTGCAGGGGTGCTGTTGCATTGCCTTGATTGTAGTAGTCGCCTACTACAGGGTGTCTCACTTCTGGCATGTGAGATGCTACAAGCATCTATACCCTAATGGGTGGACAAGCTGGAGGTGGGTCTGACTGCACTGGTGTTCAGCCACTTCTAGGGTGAGAACCACAGTTTTACTGGTTAGATATTCATTGAGCTCTTGCCATGGAGAAAAATTTAAACATAGATACTATGGATAAGATACATGTATGCCCAGAGGCCAACATAACCAGCTTTCCTGCTGATAGTCCTGACTCAAGACTATAAGTGCCCACGGAAATCCAAACCTTCTATTCTCTGCAGAAAATAGAACAAAGCAGCAAATAAAATATCTTCTAAAGGAGTTTGATTAGTTATTCTGCACTGTGAAGTAACACCATTTACTGGGGAAATACTGTAAGGGAACAATTAGGCCACATAAGGATTATGATGCTTCTAGTTACTGCTTCCAGAAACAGTATCATTTTGGGATGTGGCTAGACCACTGGTGTTTCTGAATAGCCAAAAAGCTAGCAGCTAACCACAAAATGTCCCTGCCCTTCAGATTTTTAGCCCTTCTGCTCTGGTACGTCTAAATATTCAGGATTAATAACCAGGAACTCCATCTATAAATTGTGGTAAATTGCTTGGTGCTGAGGGAGTGGTGATGACAGCAATATTTGAGATTGGTTTTGTGAGTAGCTCCTATAAGGAAAGCCTGTTGCCTAGCATCTAGGTGTTAAAGAAATGTGTGCCCAGCACTCTCAAATATCTGCTATGAAGCTAAAAGCAGGTGTGAGTAACAAGTAGTTTATAGTAAATAAACTATTCATCTTTACATAGTATAGCCAAATGTTCACCTACATATCAGATTCTTTGAGAGGAGCATAAAATCAACACATACTCTGCACCCATGTGGGGACTTACTTTATTGTTGCTGTTGTGATTGCATAATTCTGTGCAAACTAAGTGTTAAAACAGTGAAAAAAATCACCTTACCTTGTGTATACCTCATCTACACTGCACAAATGCAGTCCAGATGAAGCAAACAAATAAAACTCTAGTAATCCCTTAAAGAATCTAATTGTTAGTCCTGAAAATGAACAAACAAACAAACAGAAAAAAAAAAAAAAGGAGAAAAACATGCACTTTATTTTGAATGCAACTGGTTAAAATTGAAGTTAGTCATCAAACCAAAATATCAGTTATTAAAACAGATTATCTTACAAATGCTTTGCAGTGGGTGTTACAGATAATCTTATTGGACTGAGTATTATTAACATGGCAAAAGTGGGACTTCCCAAAGGCACTTCCCAAATGAGATGCCTTTTTATTATGGGATGTCAGTTGGCCAGGCAATTTGATTAAGGTCAGGACAACTCAAATTTTACTCCACTCGTCTTCTTCTATGTAGAACATGCTAGTAGGAAAACTCTTCCTGACATAGTGCCTTAAGAGAATTAAGTATCCAACAACAGAAACATATGCAAAGATCTCTGATTGTTTTATATACCCCTCCTTACCATAGTAAGGCATAGCTGGTATTATATCAAAATCCATGTAAAGAAGTCTACACTACAGATTATACAGAAACAAACAACAAAGACCTTAGCTAAGAAGTGTTCCAAAGATCTTGCTTCTTTATGTTGTGAACATCATGGCAGTATTCCTTACATTTACAGAAAAAGGTGCATCCCCCTGAAACTTCACTAGAATGATGAAACAAATTCAAGGGAGTAGAAGGGCAGAGTCAAGGATAGGAAAGAACCATCGGACTGTGTCAGCACATTGAAAGAGGAAGGGAGGGAAAATCTAAGATTCATCTGGCAAAGAATATACAGTTTGATGCATCACTTCCTTGTAGCAGGAGTCAGAAGGTAAAAAGGGAAGACAGCATTGAAGACAAGAAACCAGGAGCTGGGTTAACTGCAGAAAGATGAAAATGAATTCCTCCCCAAATCTCTCCCCAGTGCCAAGAAAAAAGGCAGTTTATGAAGTGCTTATATGATTTGAATAGGCACTTCATGAGTGGATCAGAAGCCAGGAGTAGTAAATTGCAATAATAGCTAATGAGTGCAGAACAGCCCATTGTGACTATTCTGGCTTGTGGTCCTTCCCAACAGCCAGGTTCTTGCCTGCAAACGGGTCCTGCAGGTGGGTCTTGTGGGCTGCTCCTTCAGCTTGCCTGCATATTGGGTCCTGTAGACAGGTCCTTCTGCCTGCCTGCAGACAGGCTCCTGAGGGCAGCTCCGGCTGTTTGCCTGTGGGAAATAGCCTTTTTTTTTTTTTTAATTAACCAGGAAAGTCCCTTCTACTTCTACTCCTTTATCCTGACTTTGAAAGACTTGTTTAAGGCCTGCTAAAAGATATCACAATCAAAATTAAGAAACCAAATCAAACTAAGGTGAGGCAGGTCTGACAACACTCGGTAGCTATATAATTTTCACTCTTGATAATTTTAACTGCTGATACATGTATAATTTTCAGAGCTTGAGCTATCTGGTCCTCTTTGTCTTGTAAATCATTAATCTAACCTTCCTTGCAAAATTCTTCTGAGCTACAGAAACTCTTACCAAGCGTTGAGCTGTCTAGCTACTTGTCAGTGTATTCAGTTGATTGAAAACTGCACGTCTTAGTGTGAGAGGCATTGACTACAAATTCACGAAGAATTTTGAAAAATATCTTCAGACCTTTCTTTCCTCTTTGTACACTTGCTCTCTAATTTAGTTAACTAAAAAGAATAAACAAATCTCTAGTTTCCACACGATTCTGGGCATTTCCATCCAAAAATAAATGGTGTGCATCATTAATACTAGAGAGGCCCATTCATTTATCATGGTTGAGTGCTGAAATCCCTTAAATTTATTTCAGACAGTGCAGCACCAAATCAAATTATGAAGATATTACATTACAAAGTGATGCTTCAACATCACTGTGTGCTGCTGCAACATCAGGACACAACGATATTTGATTTGTGCCACAGAGATGGGAGAGTTATGAGTGGCCACCTATCATTTGCCAAGCACATAAAATGACCTACAACATCCACAGAACAGCAAACTGAGAGCAGTAAGTCTGGAGATTTGTTGTCAGCTCTTACTGTGAGCTCCATGTCCTCTTCCTCTTTTTCTTTCACTGGTTTTTCTGGTTCCTCTGGCTCCTTCTCCTGAAGATGGATCTCGTTGGCCTGAGACATGTAAGGCATATCATCTTTGTTCTTGAACTCCAAGCTGAGGATTGAAGGAGGAAGTAGAATTCCTAGAATTACCTAAAGCAATAATAATAATGACAACAGTAATCATCACAGTAAACAGATTACAATCATGATGGTTACTTAGTGTCAAATGGAACAGCTCCCTCTGGACATCTGAGAAGAGGAATACACTAGCAAATGTGAGTTTCTATGGCAATAGAGTATATGTCACTTGGGGTAATGTTTTCAGATCTCTGTAGTGAAACAAAGTGTGTAACTTCTATTAACACTGATAGGAGTGCTATGGCTAACTGCCTCTCCCGAATATCTGCTTTCTCATCAGATGCTTATTACATTTCAAATGCATCTGCAAAATACTTTGTAGGGTGACATATGGAACCATGGGTGTGTTCAGACCTCAGAATTGCAGATTTCTGCATTTTATGTAATGGGGAATGTCACTGTAAATGACATGCAAGAATTTTTCTTTTCTACAGAGAAAGATAACACATACATGTTTAATGTATGCAGGTAGTGAAGGCATAAATGTGTGGATCTGAGGAGATGAGGCACAGCCAGTGATAGCAAATGCTGTTGTTCTCAGCTATGCAGTCCCCTTAGATTTGGCTTCACTAGCCTGGCAGCCCACATTATGCTTACGCTAACGTCAGCTCCTTCTTTTCTGCCTTGTCTCTCTTATGCAGAGGGAATGCAGAAGACACTATATTTCCCTTGTATGGATATATGCAATGAACAACACTTGGCATTAACTCTGTAGAAAAACTGAAGAGATATCATAACAAAAAGAAGTGGACAGTCTGTACACAAAGTACAACAACTTCTTTTGTTTATGCTGTTATCTCAGGAAAAGCAATTTTATTATACATCTCTCCTTAATTGACAGTGAAACCAGACATCAGCTTGTCAGCAGGTCAAGGGTGGTGACTGCATGTGCTTCTCACTAGCAACACTCACTGACTGCAGTTAGAAGAATGCAGGCCATGCCCTGCTGTGGACAAGCTGAGTGCTGGGCTACCCATTCTGCTCCTGCACGCGGCTCCTTGCCAAGGAGGCTTATGGCATAGACAGCTCTTTGGGGGCTGCTTGCTCTGGAAACTGGGGAGGATTCAAAGAGCCTCTCACCTTACTGATGGTGCTGCCCCTCTTGGTGGGACTCTCGGGAAACAGGGCTCTTGCCTTTTGCCAGTTTCAATATGAGAAAATTGTTTGTGGGAAATAGTCTGTGATTCATGCTTGCAAATTAATCTTTTGCTGTGCTGCTTTTTGTAGCTTGCTTTACCTTTAAACAGGCTCTGTTAATGAACTCAAGTAACATAAAACACAGACTGTGAACTGAGTAAAGGATCCTTTTGAGGCTCTCCTGTTATGAGAAGCCAAAAGGAAGCATCTGTTACCTTTGGTTATCCACTGTGAGAGGAAGGTCTGTTTTATGGCTTCATAGCTGAGAGCTGTAAACATGAAAGCATGCTGTGGGAAATGAGGTGCTGCTGAGACTGTACCTGCCCAGGTGGTCTACTTATGAAGCTGAACATGGACCAGAGCAGCAGACCCCAATGAAGGCAGAGGGCCTGTCAGGAAAATAGTAAGAATGCCTCCAAACATGAGAATGTTTTCTGTCTGTAAGCAGAATGACATCTAAACACTCCTCCAGCAGTAGGGCAGGGAGAATCCTACTAGTCACAGCCGTTCATCACTGTTACTGGATTAGACCTGAATGATAATGATGCATGCACTTAACAGCACTCTCACCATTACCGAACAAACTGACTGAGCTATTACCACTTCTCACACACAAATCACATGGGAAAGAGAAGCCTTTCCCTGAAAGTTTTTCTCTATCAGAGGAAGGAGGAGGCAATTCCTGGCTTTGTACTGACTGATGAGCACAGCACGTTGGTTAAGGTGAAAGAGGCCAGTTCAGGCTTCTTCTGGATGGAAATTCACTTCACGGAACCCACCTTGCTCTGTTAGCAGTTTTGCGGGTGGAAGTAAAGCTTAAGCAGCTTTAGAAATTGGATTATCCTCCAGATCCCCTCGGGTAGTCCCTCTGGGTCAGTCATCAGGCAGAGCAGCTGGGGACTGCAAGAACACGTGCTGCTTGCTCTGGCCTCTTCTGGGGAGGGCTGCTGGATCAGCACCTTTCACTAGCAGTTAATTCACTTTCATATCTTTCTTTTTATTTATGTTTCAGAAGCTTGGCTAACTCCACAGCGTACTAATCTGGCTCTGTTTTCTTTCTGGTAACTCTGACTTGGGAAGGAGTACTGAGAAAGGTAATAAAAACCTAAATGATAATGAACTTTGAGCTTGGTTTAGTGACAAGTTGTTCTCTGAAATGATGAACACAGGAAGAATATATTCTGGTTAATGTTGCTATGAATAAGCACCCCAAAATAATGTTCATTAAGACAGTTATTACTGATGTTCTGCAAGCCCCATCATCATCTACTAGAATTCCTCTGTTAATTCAATTTTAAAACAGTGCTGACCTTTAGGCCAGAATTTTTGCGCATCCGGAGACGACCCATCCACATGTCTGTGAGCAGCATTTGGCTGCAAGTGTGAGCAATGAAGTCTCTGTGCTTAGCAGCCACTGCGAGCTGCAGGCATGTGGCGTTGCTCCAGTTCTTCAGCTCGTAGGTCAGCAGTTTCATTGCCAGTTGCTCGTCCTGTTTGTATGACTGGTCCAACAGCTCCACTGCCAATTGGCCAAAGTCCCTGCAAAAGAGGGACATCCAATCATTCCTGTTAGCTCATGCGATCTGCTGCAGAAAACACCCTGAATAAGTGGCAGCCTCTGCAAGGGGTGTATCACCATCATGCAAATCATGATGTTGACTGCTCACACATTAATAGTAGGGATATATATATAAGTCGCCCAGCTTAGCTGTGCTACTGTGCTGAGCACCCACACCTACCAGCTGTCTGCTCCCACCTGCCTGCCCACTTTCCTGACATTTTTGGGTTGAAATCCATTGGTTATCTGCAGCCTGGAGGACTGCTTCTCTGCTATTTGCTCATGATGTTATGAAAGAGCAGTGAACAGCATCTTTTTCTGAATTCTCACCATTTTCAATGTCTCAGACTTTTAATATCGGAAAGAATTACTTTGAAATTTAGTATGTTGGCTTGATCAACTAAGTATGAGCTGTTGGTTAATCACCACCTCTCTCAGCATATGATGCTGAGAACAATTTCAACAGTTGTTCTGTTTGGGATGAACAGAATGCCTAGTGGGGACTCAGAGAGAAAACATGCAATATAGTCACTTAAGAAGTTGTACTGCTAGCAACACTGCATCTTTTGCAGATAGGTTGCTTGAAAATCAATTAGACCTTCTCCGAAGAGACTGCACTTTCCCTACAATTTAAAAGTGAAAGGCAAGATCAGCACCCTCTCACTTCGTTTATTTTTTACTTCATGTAGGAAAGTGCCCATGGAGGAATATCTACCTCGAATTATGGTTCAGCTCTTGGGATATGTCATCCACCATGTCATTTTCTGATGCCTCATGGGCCATGGCTTTGCAGAGTTTGCAGGCCACCAGTGCTTTAGCCATAGCCTCCTCTCCATGCTGCCAAAAGAAGAGAGCCATCTTCTGGCGCTTCATAAGCACTGCCCACACCATCAGCTCGTGGAACGGAAAGGGAAAATGATTTATCTCAGGGTCATCCAAATCAATATCAACTTCTTCTTCTCTTTTCTTAGTTGTTTTCCTCCCTCGTCGTAAAGGGACATCGTCCTGTGAGAATTGCAAAGAAATTTTTTTCCTCAGGGAAGGAATTCAATCTATGCATGCAATATTTTGGAGTCAGTACAAGAGATGTCAAATGCACTACCTGCAATGCAATCCCTTCAGCTTTTTTTTGGATAAAAAATTCAACAACATAAAACAAAGGCTATAAGTACAGTTTCATGTACAATAACTAAGAAGCCAATAATCCTATACCTCAACTCAGGGAAAAAGAACTTTGGACTCTGAACTGCCCTTACTTCCTGAGAACATTAAGTACCATTGAACAATGCCCAGAGACATTTTGAAACAGCCACAATTAAAATAAAGTTAAGCACTCACTTCAATTACAACATTATAATACATCCACCCTGTTCCTCCTCTGGACAATACACATCCAAGGGATGCTCTCATCTTCTTAGAACTTCCTACTTATTCCTAATATTTTTTCACTTTATTTTCTCAGTAGAGTCAGAATCACCTTGCAACACTCCCATTTTATATTTCTACTACGTTTGCCCCTTCTTTCTCCAGTTCTACTTTCTTTTCACAACTAGACTTTATGCTTTTGTTTCTATCACATTTTAGCCAAATTGGACCATTCAGTGGATAAAGAATTTGTTAGATGGTTACAGACAGAGGGTTGTGACTCTGTGCCTAGATGGAGGCTGGTAACAAGAGGGACTGAAGTCTTCAACATCTTTACCAGTGACTTAGACAGTTAGATTGAGTGTAGCCTCAGCAAATTTGATGACACCGAGCAGAGCGGTGCTGTTGATATAGCAGAAGGAAGGGATGCAGTTCAGAGGAACCTTGACAAGCTTGAGAAGTGCTCTCATATGAACCTAATAAGGTTTTAAAAGGTTCAAAAGCCTAGGGTGTTGCACTTGGGTAGGGGCAATCCCAGATATGTCTGCCTACAGGATGGCAGAAGAATTCCTTGAGAGCAGCTGTACGAAGGACTCAGGCGTTCTGGTAGATGAAAAGCTTGATGTGAGCCAGCAGTGTGCACTTGCACCCTGACAGGCCCACTGCATCCAGGGCTGCATCAAAAAAGAAGTAGCCAGCAGGGTGAAGGGAGTCATTTTCCCCTTCTGTTCTGCCCTTGTGAGGCCCCACCTGGAGCACCGTGTCCAGGCCTGGAGTTGCCAACACTGGAAGAATGTAGAGCTGTTTGAAGGGTCCAGAGGAGGGCCACTAAGATGATCAGAGGGCTGGAGTACCCCTCTTAAGAAAAAAAATTGAGGGACTTGTGCTTGTTTAGCTTGGAGAAGAGAAGGCTTGGTGAGCCCTCGCTGTGGCCTTTCAGTACTCGAAGGGAGGTTTTAAGTAGGAAAGGAGAGATTTTTTACAGTGTCCAAAAGCAATAGCACAAGGGGGAATGATTTTAAACTAAAAGAGGGTAAGATTAGGTTAGCAGGAGAAAATTCTTTACTCAGAGATGGTGAGGCCCTGGCACAGCTGCCCAGAGAAGCCACGGTGCCCCATCCCTGGATCTGCTCAAGGACAGGTTGAATGGGCCCCTGGACAGCTGGGCTGGGGGGCAGCCCTGCCCATGGAAGGGGGTTGGAACTGGGTGATCTTTAAGATCCCTTCCAACCTAAGCCATTCTGTGACTATGATTTTAGGCAGTTTTTATTAAACAAGCTGACCTGTTCTGTGCCACACCTGCAGACAGCAAAATGAGTAATAGTACAAAATAAACAAATGAGAAAATACTGCAATCTCTGAACCATCAGATACTTAGAACTGCCAATAAAACTGATGAAAATTTGGCCCATGTAAAGATTTCCGTCTCATTCAACAGCTCTGAAATCCTTTTTAAGCTACCTAGTGATCTGAAATGTGGCACAGGCTAACAGACTGTAACAATTTGTTTAATCTTCACCAGAAAAAAACTGATCCACAGAGGGGGCAGAGCCTTCTTTTCTTTTGTCTACCGGCTAGAGTTCTTTTAAGAAATATTTCTAAATCCAAGCCTTGCATAATCAAGTTATCTGGATGAAAAACACAACCAGTGTGGCACAAATCTCCTTCACAATTTGAAAGCGGCTATGGGTGCTTTCATTACAGCATACCTAAAAATTATCTTTATTTAACTCGGATATGTCAAAGAAAGAAAATACATTAAGATTTATCACAGGTTCACCTACCTCCATTCCCAGCAGTTTCAGGGCTTTTGGCTGTATGAAAAAGTTAAAAAAATGTTATTTCTCCCAGAAATGTGAAGAAAAATTACAACTGTGTGTGTATACATATATTATATGCATATAATATACATTACACATGTAACACGTAATTATAAGATATAGGGTATATAATACACAATATATAATATATAATGAAATACTCTCAATATAATGAATTATTATTTAATATACTCCACATATATAAATAAATTAATTACATGCATGTATTTAATTCTAACTTGAATTTGACTCTATTTCACCAAAATGAACAACAGAAAACATACATTTGGAATCTAATGTAAATTCGATCTGCCTAGGGGGCTTCTCATAGAAAGGAAACAGGAATTACTTCTAAGAGTCACTGTCACGAGTGAATTTCTCTGGAGTGCTTTAGTATCTTGGCCATTTCCCTTGCACACCTTTACTGACTGTTACGAAGCTGCTCTGCGTGTTGTGCCAGTATCTGCGAAGTCTCTACTGAAATGATTATCCTGATGGAACATGGAAGTCTTTCCCAATAGCTACAATTACTATTGTTACTCTCAATAGTGAAGTATGAATATGTGAGACAAAAAAAAACCAAAAAAACCCTCTCTTCTCCTGTGTTTGGCTGGAAGCATTCCACAGAGCTGTTGCTCTTTATAGTGTCTTAGGATGATACTTAGTGGTATGTGTTGCTAAAATCTGAACTGAAGCATGAAATGAAAATGTGAAGCAAAAATAAGCTAAGAACTGCAAATCTTACTGGCAACAGTTATTCACACTTTGCTTCAAGCTGAATTGGATCAGTGGCATTACAGATGACAACAAATACCTTTGATGTTTTTGAAAGATAATAAATTTACTTTGGTTTCAAAGTATTGAAATCTATCAAACAATAAAACTCCAAAAATGCGAAATGGTATTTTTGCCATGAACCCACTGTCTTGCCTGATGTCACATGCAGCCAGTAAAGCCTGTTTTGAGTTATGTGTTTCTTTGTTCTCATAGCTTCAGGCCACAGTCTAGAGGATGAGTCTTAAGATAATACATGCATCTCACAGAACACAAGTTTTCTCAAGTCTAACTCTGTTAGTATCCTGTGGCATTGAACCGAAAGACTCTGAGTCTTTCAAACGCAACATTTGGACAAAGCCAGAGGAATGTGCCTTATGCCCTGGTCTCATCAAGGCAGCAGAACACCTGAACCCAATATTTTTTTTTGTTAGACTTGTTAAAAAAGTAGATTGACTACAGTGCACTGCAGTGAAATAAGTAAGTAGTGGAAATCGACCTGTAGTGCATGCATGTAGATTTCCTCTGAAGCCTACAACCATCCAAGAAACTACTGTAACTGCTGCAAATAGGTGCAGTCATACAAATGACAAACAATTGCTCCTTACCCTCTTAGGCCCAAATAAATTGTGGTACAGTGTTCTGAATCGCTTTCGGGTATAATTGCAGCGATATGCTCCTCCCATCAGGTACTCTATCACCAAACCAATATCAATCAGGCTTATTCGATAATCAGGAGGTAAATTTCCCTGTAACAAAAATAAGGATGGTGGGGGAGAACGAGATTATTATTGTTGGCATTGTTAAATGCATTTTATAATGATGTTAGAATAAGATAAATTAAAATAGTTAAAAACAGGAATGTATTATTATGCTGGTTAATTAATTCACCTTAAAATAGATCCAACCGAAACCTGGATATTCTCGCTTGGAAAGAAGACATAAGTTAAATAAGAAGATGAAGAACTTGCAGAAACAGAAGATAACGTCAGTACACAGTACTCATATTCTTCAGCTGGGGAAACAAGGAACATGACTGCAGAACAAAAAGCATGAGGATCAGCGCACTGGAAAGGTCAGGCACAGTTGCTGAGCTCTAGTCTTGTCACAAAGCACCTCTGCTGCACCATCTGTGCTCCACACCTTTTGTCCTGGCATTTCTCGTCTCTTCTGGCATCTCCTTGCTTTGCCTCCTCTGCACTGCTGAGCCACTGTGAAGTGACATCATGTGATATTGATTGTTCACAAGAAAGCAGCTCTTGCAAGTGACCTTCCCATCCTCCACATTCCAGGTAAAAAAAATGGAGGAGAAGAGACTTGTTAACTACTCTAGAGGAATTACACATTTCTTCTGGGAATTATGTACAAATAGACTAATATCACTGCTTAAATTTCACAGTTTCACACAAGGAAAGCACCTGTATATACGAAGGTAAGTATGAAAATTGGAAAAAGTAAAACATCTCTAGTTAATTCCTTGGGGTTTTGGTTGAGAAGAAAAGTATATGCCTAGCAGGTTTCCTAGATGAGCCCTCCTTGAAATCCCAGGGTATTTTACTGAAAACTCTTCCATGTACAGTAACTCTGCTACCTAATTTTCAGCATTGCCAGAGAGTTGTGTTCCATATAGGAGAATTGTGATTGTGGCAAGAGTCATTAGCAGGATTTTGCAAAATATGTCCATCTGCTCACTCTCCAGTTTCTGTTCCTTTCTATCAAGTAGAATATGAATATCCAGTGACTTTGGCATGCACCTTTATTTTTGAAGGGAAAAAAAACTGTAAATATATCTATGTCCTATTGCCCTCACTCTGTGAATTGCCTTGCACATAACCATCCCTCTTTTTACTGTCAAGCCTGGAAACAGCAACACTAAAGTTATAAGTTGTCATATATACATGGCTTGCTAAGCTCTGAAAAATACCTCAATAACAGATTGCCTCTTCCTGCATCTTGGCCCAAGTCTGCTTCTGAATCAACTGGACATTTATGTTCTCCAGTAACAGTAGGTTTGACAAGATACCTGGCAGGTGAAGTGCTCCTGAGCTCTCTGGTGGCAGAATAAAACCCTGCCTGTTCTTTTGTTTCCCAGTGGAAACTCTTCAAGGGAAACTCTGATCCAGTTTCAGGAGAGAGCTAATGGGAAGGGACTGCCTTCAGGTAAAATTTCTCTTCTTCTCTAAGTCAGTGCTGAATTATTTGGACAACAGTTCGTAGTTCAGCAAGCAGTTCACCATCAGCAAAGAAGCCACAACTTAGAAAAGTGTGAGTGGGTCACCAAGATCTGCAGATCTCATTAAGGACTCTGCAGATTTACAGCTCTGTCCTATATATCATTGTGCAAGAAAAGTGGCTACAATTTAAAGATGGAAAGAGAAGTAAGTTATCCCTCTGTGAATCACGAGTGACAGCTTTGGAAAGATGAGAAAATAACTCTAGGAAGAAATTAACTAAGTTGTACAGTCAACATTGCAGAAGGACTACAAAATTATAATTTTTGGCTAAAGAAATTCAGCCCATTTTAACAAAATAATCACATTTTCTGTAACGATATACAGCACAGATCACAGTAAGCCTGTAGCTGTTTTTATGTGATCATCAGAAGAAGGTTAATAATTCACATGGAACAATTTTATGACAGCCTTGTCTTGTTGGAAATATCTGCGTGCCTGCCTGGCTTCTCTGCAAATTTGCTTATTAGATTGGGAGCAGAGAGGCACTAATGGAAAGCAGATGGCACCTGGCTCTGCAGAAGAGATGGAATGGATGCAAAGATTCTCCTTCCTCATCTACTGCAGCCAGGAAGAGAAAAGCTTATTTCAGTCCCTGCAAGGCTCTGGCAGCATTCTGAAAGGCTGAGGATGCAAAGGGGAAGCAATGCTGTGGTGCACTGGCACTGGTAGTGGGCTAGAATTCAAAGGGATGGAAGATCAAGCAAATCTAGTGGCAAAAGGTGAGCTGCCAACTCCATTTCAGTGCTGTCCCTTGGCAGCACTTCCCCTTCCTAAACTTGGCCAGTGTGATGGGGCAAAGAGGACTATGGTTAGCATGTGAGGTTAGCTTGTTTGAACATGGTCATTGTATTCTAACCAGTTCTATGAAAATTCAAGATAAATCTGAAAATTAAACCCTGTTTGTTTTTTTTTTTTTTTCTAAAATATTCTCCAGTTTCCAGAATGTTTAAGGCATTTCATCAGAACAAGGCACTGGCAGAAGTGGAAGTAATCAGGAGAGAGCTGTAATTGTTCAGCTGTAATGTGTGACTTCCTTAATACAGTTGTTATGACTTCTAAGATTTCATAAGGGCATGAAAACACAGTTTTTTCAAATAATTTTAAAGGAATATGTGCCTAAACCTACTTACTATAAACACATGAAACACTTTACCATAAAAATCTCCTAAAATCACAACAAAAATACATGGAAGGGGTTATGCATGTACCAAAATGTTTGATACACTAGCAAACTCTATGAGTGACCCCAATAGTGTTGGGCTGCCTGAATACAAAACTCAGTGGTGCAAGTGGGTCAGAGCACTTCCAAGAACAGCAAAGATTTGGATAGGCTAATTCTAGAACAGCCAGAGTGGTCAGGAAGTACAGAAGAGAAGGTTGGTTTAGGGGTGTGATTGGTACCCCAGTTAATAATAAATTAACCTTTTAATGCTGAGACAAGCTTTTTAGTGATTAAACATTATTATTTTCCTGGTAAAACTTCATATTCAAAATATAATAGATCAATTATAATATCTTAATTCAGTTCACATGCATTTTCAGTTTGGGTGGATAAAATCTCCAATTTTGCATTCTGAGGAACTTTCAAAATTCTGTGTAACACCTACCATCTCTCTGAAACTGCAGACATTCTGAGGCAGTTCAAAAGAAAGAACTTAGAAAAAAATGTGTCAACCCACAGTGAGAACAAGATATGTTTATTATGTGCCATTTTTGTATTACAAAAGGGAATCCATCTGTTAATTTCTGCTATTCTTTACCTAATTCAGTCAAGAAAGGAGTGGTTTTTTTTTTTATTTTATTTTATTTTATTTTATTTTATTTTATTTTATTTTTTTTATTTTTTTTTTTTTAAGCAACCTGTAGAGGGCAACCTCCACTTACAAAACGGATTTCAGGCACTGCCACTACTTTCTCCTTTCTCTTGGTATATCGGTTTGCACAGTGGAAGAACAAAGCCAATCCGTACGCTAAATTCTGTGCCCCTCGCAGATGATGCCACAAAAGTCAGGATACAAATGATGAGGGCAGATTCGCAGCCATGGAGCTGAGAGGATCAAAAAGTGAGATGTACTCAGTCCTCTCCAAAGCAGAGACATAAAAAAGTGATTTGCTTTATCGACACATTCAAAATTTACTCCCTTTGATTACAGTAAATTCTTTAAAAGTCTTTCTCCAGGCCTCTGCAATTTACTTCCAAGGCTTGCAGTCTTCACAGCAATTTGGATGTAGAAATCCAAAGAAAATGAAGTGTGCGTGTGTGTGTATGTACGTGGTCACAAACAGGGCGTGGGAATTACTTCTGTTGTGCAACTTGGTGCAACTTCACTGCAGTATTCAGCAGACGGGGATGTCATTCAAAGTAAAAGTTCTTCCATTAATTTTTGTAACCATGTAATACAAAGGTAGTACTTTGAATATTACTTGCATTTTCTATTTGAAAATGTGCAATGACTTAGAGGCAAATAACTTCTCTAGCATACATTTCTGTGCATACTGTAGATTTTAAAATTGGGATGCAAGAATAATGGGCATTTGGTATGCATGACCTCTAAGTGTTGTCTCAAGGTGTCACACTACATGTATTGTATTTCCATTCTGGGATACTGTAATTAAATCTGACAGATTAGTTATTTGGCTTCAGTATTTATATGTAGTAGGAAAAAATTAGCATCAGAGGCATGGTGTGGTTTTCATGCACAGTGGGTGACTTAACTGTCAAATAGCAATGCTTATTAAGAAGTTATTTGCAAGAAGGTGTTTTTATTTAACCTGGTGTCATATCTGTTGACAGATTTACATCTTGGTTGCCTGGTGAGGGATCTGACTGCTCAGGTGTAGGGCTCTGGTGAGCTGACACACTTCTCCTAGTGAATTGCGTTTCTTCTTCACAGAACAAATGAGAAATGTGGCCACAGAGGTGTAGTTCTCTAATCAAGGTGCTGGAGGGCTGCCTCAGCATGACTGTTTTCAAAGCCCCTAACTATATTCTAATATGAGTGCTTGTTGTCTTTATACAGTGGGAGTTACTGAAGGCTTTGAGTGTGGATAGAGTTGAAAAAAAAAAGGTGCATTTAAAGAGATATCACAATCATCTAATATTTAGCAATTACTGTGGACAAATACTGTCATTAATGTACAATGTAAGTACATTTACAGCCAGTGTCTACCATTGCAAAAGTAATGATCTTGGACTATTTTCAGGCCTCTTTTCTCCCCAAGAACTCCTTAAAAATTGTTTCTTTCATTATGGACTTGAATAAAGATTAATATTATTAAGTTACTGAATATAGCAATTGCTACATCTTTGAGAAAATACTTAGAAATGTGATGCTGGAGATGGAAAGGATTTCTAAAAGTCTCTTTTAAAGGAAAGAGACATTTGTTTTAAACTCATCAGGGCACATAAAGAACGGTATGCTTAATAACAAAAAAAGTCTGTTAACTTGGCTTTAAAAGAAGCAGTCAGTTTAAATGCACTCTAGCTTTTCTCTGCTCCCACTAAGGGAATGTGCAGTTCTGATTTCCTCTATAGACATTTCATATCTTTTGATGCCACTGAAAATACTACATGTAAGTGAACAGCAGCACTGCCACGTAACACACCAAACAAAGAAAAACATCAGAACTTCCTTAAATGCCCCTACTAATTATTCTGTAGCATTATTTAATAGAAGTACTATTTTGTAAGCATTGCCATTCCCCTACCCTGTTTTCTTTCAATTCTGGGCAGCTGTAAGTGATAGAAGAAATCACCAAAGTCTGTACTCTTGCAAAAATTCTCCATTCCCTTTTCTGTCTTCTCTTGAACTATTCTCACATGCAGAAATCTGCCTTTTCAAGCATGCCAGGCTTGAGGTCCAAGTTATGCAATGAGTAAGACTGCAATCTGCACGTGCTAAGGGAGAATATTCAGGCTGATGAGGTCAGTTGCAGGGTCAATCTCCTTACTTGATCCATATATTGAAAGGATGAAGATTTTAATTTGTTGCTGCTGCTGTAACGCATTTAATCCCATGGAACAAATACCTAGAGGTATTTGGAGTCTCCCTGTCACTCTACCTTCCTAAGTTTCTGACCTACAGTTCTAATGGCTCTTTATATTATTAAGATGTTCAAAATTAACTTGATAAGGGGGCAGAGGAGACTTGTGCTATCTCTTTCACTATGTTTCTTCTCAGGAAGATGGCTACATCATAGCACACGACACAGAACAAAGAACCATTTCAACAAACTAGGATCCAACACAGGGGTAATAGCTATTTCACAGACTCAGAAGTTAATTAACAGCATGGAAATTAACACTGATGATAGTTGCAGGTATGGAAGAATACAGATAACAGCATAAATCCACAGGAAATATAAGAGCTTACTACTCTGCTAGCAGAAGCACTATAATCCAAGCATCTAAAATCACAGCAAAAGCAAGCCCAATAACTTGCTAATTGTGCATTGTATGCAAAAAGTTAATATTCAGTACATACAAAACGACATTCTGTAACGGCAGGGGAAGGAGAAGGTTCTGACTGAAAGCTCATGCAATACAGAGACTGTATCTAGCTACAAAAAGCGATCACGACATTCTCTCCAACCTACCGTCTACTGGACTCTTACCTTTTTGACATCCCTGACTAGATGATATAAAGTGTTGGATGGTCCATGCCTCTGCAAAACACAAACACACAGAAGAATACAATAGTTTTGCACTGTCCAAAGACCATGTAAAACCAAATACTGAAAAGGCTGCGTCGGTTCAGCAGTTTAAAAATCAGACAACTGAGAACACTTTAAATATGCTGCCATCAGTTTTTAATTGAATTTGAAAAATCAGTTACAAGAGCAGTATTTCACTTGACTTCTTTGTGAGAAAACCACAAGAACTGTCATATTGCCTCAGAACTACAGTCCTATATAGAAGACTTAGGCACTAGCACGATGTGTAGAACTTCTATGAAGGACTGGAAGGAAGAACAGCAGGTCATGATTCAGGCTTCCTCTGCTCAGCATCTCCACTTCCAGTGAGCTCTTGGCCTTGAGTAAGAATTACTCCCACAATTTTAATTGTATGTTGTATGGAGAAAAAAACTCATGTCAGTTGTGTTTTTGAGTATTCCTGATATTTTCAGGGACTCTATTTGGAGGCCTCCTTGGCTTTGACAGCTCATCTATGAGTCACCACATAAATTTATTCTAAAAGATCTTATTTAAGATGTTGAACTTCAGGCTTTCTTCAGATTTACTCCGTGTAGAAACTCATTTTGTTGCAAGCACTACAGGGGTCATCTCTAACAAGAATGCTCAAAGGCTTTCTATTCTTAATACATAGATGTTATCTGACAAATTATGATAATCAAAGATTGGATGGGACGATCTTGGTGTAGGTTGACACAGTTATTTATTCCTCCATATTTTGCACAGATTTAATGAATTCTTCTCATATTTGATATTTTCGAAAGACTGATTTCTGGTCACCATCAATATAAAACATTTCTGGGTAAATCCCATTGCGGCAGCTTACAGTGACAGGGCTTCAAAAAGTACTGGCAAAACAAAAAGGTTTTGTAAAGGCCTATGCACTGTACCACAACCTCCTTCTCACAGGCAGAACTCAGAATCCCCAAAATTAGGCAACACTTGAAGAATTTTTTTCATACCACTGTGCCAATTCAAACTCTGGTTTCTTTCAGAAGGCAGTTAAGATCTGAATGTCAGAATTTGCTCTGGAGTTGAAATATCAGAAGTTCTAATACTTATAAATAAATACTTCTGTATTTATCTTAAAGGTAGAGATAAAACTTGGAAACAAATTTTTAAAAGTCAAAACTATAATTTTTTGAATATTCTACAAAAACACATGGAAATCCTGTACTGTAAAGGCACTTGGCCCTCCTGAAATCATCATGTTTCACCTATAAATTCAGAATGTTATCACAGGAAGTTTACTTCTAATTGTTTTCTAGTGTCTGAATTTGATAAATGTTTGCAAGATTTCTGAAACCAAAGGGGCTTATATCTTCAGGAGTCACGTACATCATACAGGTCCCAGCTTACTAGTTACTGTCTTCCAGACAATGCAACCTGCCTAAACCTGAGGTTTACTCTATTGGAATTACAATGACCAGAAATCAGTCAATACTGTGTGAAGCTTAACTCAAGTTCATGAAGTACATACAACAGATTATGTGAGCAAGTGACACTGCGTTTCATTATGTGAGAGACAAAGCTAAGAGGCAATGTGGATTTCTGACACGAAAAAAAGTATTCTGCATCAGATGCTGGATGCCTTGTTATACGAGTGGGAGGTAGAAAAATGAATATAGAGAGAGAAAATTGCCTTATGTTGGCCCTACCGTATTGTACAATTCCTCTAGCCGGGAGATGGTGAGAAAACGATGCATGCTTACTCCATTTTCTATGAGTAATTTCACAAAATCCACTCTGTCCAACACCAGTGCATCCAGCATTGCTTGCTCAAGGGAGCCCACCTGCAAAGCAAGTGATTAATTCAGGGTGTTCCTGGGCACCACACACCATACCCTGCTTTCCTGACACCCTGGCACAAGCAGGCAAACCTTACAGAATTCTGAGGATTTATTTACTGTGCTGAGAATAAGATAATCAGAATTTTAGCCTATATTGGTTTCTCAGATTCAGGGCAGCATTCCGGAAATGAGTGTCAGACCATTAAGATGAACGTGCTTTAGGAAATACATTTGGACAAAGGAACTGAAACATATGAGACTAATGATGACACTTCCACGCTACTCACTATCTTATTATCATCCTAATATCTTGCTTTCCTGAAAAAAATTATTTTTACATTGACTACATCTGTCATGTACAAAAATACTCACTGTAATTCTGTTTTTACTAGCTTTTTCCTCAGCTTGTGATGTTGAAACTAAGATAAACTTTGACATCCAGGAAATTGAAATAATTTCACAAATAGCATTTCATTTGAAGGTCTAAATGCAAGAGGTCTTCTTATGCATAACTTTTCCTTTTACATCTCTTTTGGAGGGATGAGAGCATACTTTATGCTTCCAACTTCTGGCTTGCAAAATGACTGCAAATTGCAGTATTTATACAATTTTTTGCTATGATGTAGCAATAAGGATAAGGAACAGCTTAATACCATTTAAATCTCTGCTATGTTGTGTTGCATGCTTATGCTGAGTATTGAAAGTAAGGGAAAAAGTCTTATTTACTCCATAACTGAAAAGGTAAATGTCTTTAAAACTAGACTTCAGGGGCAGCAACCATTAGAAACTATATAATACGGACATTTAAACAGAAGATATTTCCTTATTATAATTTTCTTGTGAGGAAATGCAAATACTTGTGTAAAAATAGGATATGAATTTTCATGACAGTAACAAAACAACTGTCACAGTAATGAAAACTGATCTAACAAAAACTTCTGAATGAAGATGTGGGTTTTAAGGGTGAAGATAGGGTCAACCTGGCTTTGCTGGGTGACTTTTACCACTGTAAAAACTGCATCACAAGTTGGAAGTTATGACACCAGAGAATGCTCCTCCACTTCCCCCCACAAAGTTCAACATCCCCTCTTTTTATGGCATTTCTAGAGTTCTATCCAGGGAGGCCTGGTGGACAGTGTCGGCCGTGGACCCCTCTCCACAGCTGGTAGCTGGAGCACAGGATAGGACAGTTGAGAAGCAGGCAGATCAGGCAGAGCAGCACTAGGCACAGTATTAACACTGGCTCAGAAGCCACAGCTCTCCAGTGGTAATGCCACCTCCCGTGCTCACATTCCATGTGATGACTTACCACACCTCTGCAGCACCTTTTTGATGTCTGCTCATCATCAACTTCAGCATTTTTAAGTGAAAAGACTATAGGATGAAGAGCAGAGATTTTAGTTTACAGCCTGATAACTTAACATGATTGTTAACGGATACTTGTTTTTCTCAGCTTGCAGAATGATTTCTTAGTAGTATCAATGTATTGTTTCCTGTTTTTCTATAGGTGTCAGTGTTGAGGTATCATTAGGTGTCACCACTGCCTTGAATGAATGCATTAAAATATCTGCAACTTTGTCTGTCCGTTGCTGTGTTTGGGAACTTTGTGTTTGATTGGGAACATGATTCAACATAATTCGAACTGTCTTAAAACCACCAATGCCATAAGAATGGACTTAATGTTATGCAAGGTTTAAGGTGTTTTCTGTAGAAGATGCTGCATGTATATACTATACCGGCCATTGCTGCCCGTAAATAAAGATCTGACTGCGAGCGATGTCTACTCTGTTCCAGGCTAAAGCCAGGCTCAGCTGGTCGGGAGCAGATGCGTTAGCTCCTGTGTGTACAGAAGGAAGTGTGGGGAGGAAAGGAGGAGACAAAAGAAACAAGACACATTTTAGACACAGACAAATGCCACCTTGGTAATTCCTTTAAATCAGAATTCTCACAGATGTCCAAGTCACTTCTGCAACTGATCTCATATTAAAATAAAGCCAAACTTCCCATTATCCCTGGAATTAAATCCCTATTCTCATATCTAAATCTATGTTTCTCAGACTGTCTCATAGATGCTAATAAGTTCCCGTCATCCTCTTGAGAATTTACGTTTGTGGTGTAGCGAACTGGTTTTTCTCATCTTGGTTGGGAAACCAGAGAAGAAGCCTGGAGGGATACTGACCTGGTATAGCAATACACATACACACCTACACCCACAGATGTACACAGGCACACACTCACATCAAGCAGTTACTGGAAAGTTGAAATCACACAGACCAAACCAATTTAAATAAACATGCAATTTATGCACCTCTTTTATGCATCCCTGCCTGTATAAACATAGGAATTCCTCCTCAGTTTGGACCTTGGAATCCTGGTGGGACAAATTTCCCTTCACCCACGTGATATTCTTGTAAAAGAAACCCCACTCAATAGAGCTGCTGTCAAGGTATAACACATCATCAATAATTAGGAATCTATGCAGATGGGCTTGGAGTCATTTGTTTGTGGGAGTGCATGTTTTCCCCTTTATTTTAATGGACACTGTGGGACTTCCCTGTCATGCTGTGTTTTTTTACTGTTTCACTAAGGATTTCAATGTTATTAACCGATTTGTAACAATAAAGCAGTATTCGTGCTTCAGTGTCACCGTGAGAGCTGGCCTGAGTGAACTGATCAACTGAATAAATAAGGAACCCTTCCACTTTAACTACCTAGACTCAGAGAGATTAGGTGACAGGCTCATTTCTTAAAGGTGTAATAACTCCACCTTTCTCTTGATTCCATTACATTTTATGCTGACAAATGGTCCTTATTGAGAGAGGACAAACAGGAGCTTTTCATTACTTCAAAGCAGTTCTGTCCACATTTCAGTACTATTCAAAATCATGCACTGTTCCAGCAGAAAGAGGACTGAAATAGAGGCATAGAAAATATATAGCATTATGAGCCAACTGCTGAAATCCTCAATGTAAGATCAGTTCAGCAGACCCCACGGAATCTTAGCCTACACTTTAATTTTCTAGCTCATAACTTTTCAGTCAGTTCACTTTGCTAAATACTTTGCAAAACTTGAAAGAACTATTTGGTACATAGATCATTTGCATTTTATTACACAAATGAGCTCTGATAAGAAGGCAAGTGATGCAAGAGCAGAAAGATAAATAAAAATGAAGGCAGTGAAGACAGTAAAACACTGATCTCTGATCAAGAAGGGACATGAACATCCTTTGGTTAAGACTCAGCTTCTTGTTGCTTTATATTATAGTACAGTCAAAAATTCTTACAGGTGATGTCAATGACATCCAAACTTTCCTAAGTTTCTTATGCAAGTAACATACAGCATTAAAAAACAGATAATATTTGCTGTGGGAAAGGCAAAGATGACCCTACAGTTTTATATGTATTAAAAAAAAAAAAAAAAAAAAAAAAAAAAAAAAGGGTAAAAATACCCCAATTGGATATAATAGTAAAAAATTAGAACAGAGAGAAAATAATATTCTCCTTTTTTCCAAAGCAAACAACACTACCTCTCAAAACACCCTTTGATCTCCTCATGCCTGTCTGCATGCCTGCACAAGAAAGGAGCACCTCGGCGGGGTCTCACGCAAAGTCTCTGGAAAGCAGTGGAAGAAGCACATGGGTGAACCCCAAAACCCAAGTGCAGTCATGGTGATTCCACCAAAAGGAACCATTCTTCACATATGATGGGGGAGTTCCACCTTCAGACTTTGCTAAACTGACTACAGCTTACAGTCTGGGTAGCCAGGAATCCTTCAGGCTTAGAAACCATTTTGGACTGAGAGTGGGTCAGATGGATAGGGAAGGATAAAGGCAGCTCCTTATAATGTTCCCACTTCAGCCAAAGCTAAAACCAAATCACAAAGACTACAGGTGAACCTTCTGATCCCCAGCAGGGAGCCATCCCCTGTCTGTCCTGAGGAACCCCTGGACTGTTTCATGCTTTAGGAAAGACCCAATTACAGGATGAGCACAGGGCCCTCTGATGCACATGAAGGGGGAACTAGCATGAGAAATGAGGCAGCCATTCACCAGAATTGCCTTAAATGCTTATCAGAGTCCAACTATTCGGAGAGCAGAAAGCAAGAAGGTGTATGTGCGATCTCAGAGGTGAAACTCTTCTAGTTACCATGGCACTTCACCATGGCAGTTCACTTCACTGTCCAGCAAAGTACTGGAAAGATCTAAAAGTTGAAAAATACATGGTTTCTCAAGGAGATTTTGTACTTCAGGTCCAAACCAGTCTATCAGAGTGGAAGCTGAAGAGTATGGGTCAGGGCTCTGCCCTTCTGACTGTGAGGTTTTGTTGACAAAAGACTCTTATATCTGTCTCTGTTTTTCTGTTTTCCCTATATGGTTTTCAGGTCAGTGTGGGTGGCACTAGTGTTCCACAGAAAGAGAATCAAATAAATGATGTTAAAAGTTTATTCAGAACACCTCATGGGCCATGGATGATTGTTTCAATTGATTTTATTTCAGAATGCACCAATGACTTCATCCAAATGAAAGAATGTATTTCAGGTGAAATTCCATCCAGCATTTAGAAGTAAAAATAATTCCACTAATAAAAGAAATACTCTTTTGCGTGAACATGAGTGGTGCTTTCTTGAAATACTGCCTCATTTCAATCATCTTCATGATTGCATTTGGTGATCCAAAGCGTGGATTTGAGTCAGTAAGAACTCCAAAAGTGATTTTGTGAAGATTCATCTTGGTCATAATTACCACTGGAATGCACTCAAATAAAAGCTAAAAAACATTTAGGAAATAAAAAATAAAGTAAATAACATATGTCCGGGGAAATTTAGATTAGATATAAGAAAAAGCTTTCTGTCTCAGACAGTGGTCAGGCTATGGAATGGCCTGTCCAGGAAGGTGGTGGAGTTGCCATCCCTGGCAGTGTTCAAGAGGCGTCTGGATGAGGAGCTGCGAGATATGGTTTAGTGCTTGTGGTAGCAATGGTGATGGGAGGATGGTTGGACTTGTATGATGATCTTGTAGATCCTTTACAACCCTGTGATTCTATAATTCTATGAGTCTATACTGGTCTTATAAACTGCAAACAGAGGGTCATACTGGAGTCAATTCTTAGGGTCTTATTACAGAAATAAGCATTTCCTATTCCCACATTTGTTTATTCTTATCTCATAAGACTTTAGGAGTCTTTTCTTTTTAAAAGAAAACAGACTTTGTCTAGTTCTGTTCTCTTATTTTAATTACGATAGCATATTTATTGCATTAAACAATATTTTAGTCAATCTATGACTAACATCTATGTAACATTTATTCAGTTCTGATGTCTGGTTGAGCAAAAGTTATCTTCTTCAAAAGAGTGCTTTAGACAACAGGAATAATAACTACAGAAGATTCTTTCTTCCCTTCATGTATTCCCAGAAATAGAATTCAATTTGAGATACAGTGGATTGATGTGGTACTATTTTATTTGGATGTATATTTTGCTGAATACAGTTACATGCTGGAAAATGCAAGGATGCTGAAATATTAAATGAAAAAAAATGATCTGTGAAAGCTGTTCCTGCAGGTGTTAACTTCACGCTCTTAGGCAGTCATCTAAAACAGATTATTCTAGTGAAAACTCCATTCACATCAGATAATCTGTCCAACATCTTGGACCAAAATGTCATACACGTTGATGGTAAACTTGGGACTATAGACTTGAATGCGCATCCTAGATGAGCTAGGATACAGGCCAGAACATGAGCATTATGCCTTTGCAAGACTCCAGATTACTGAAGCAATACAGAACAATACACACCAGCCAAGATTTGCTGTGAACAATGTAAAAGCACTGATGAATTCTGTAGCTATGGTCTAAGATGCTTAGTTGTCAGGAATCTAAAAAGTTGAAGAGGCATAAAACTTACCTATATTGGCAGATACGGCTGTTGGAGATTCACTTCTACAAAGCTTTTGAGCACATCAGTACCCTCTTTGAACCATCACTTAAAGAAAAGAAGTAGACTAGGGGGTATAGCAACCCAAATTAGCTTTCTGCTCTGCATCTTGGCAGGTCTTAAATTGTCTTCTGTCACACAGACACCAACATCTTTGAAGAAAGGGCTGCTTTTGTGACAGCACCTTCCTGAAATTTAGCAAATCAATTGGCAGTAACAAAGCTGATAGCAAGAATAACTGCGGGGGCAGTAACCAGACATTTGGCCTGACTCTGAAACATACTGGACTGAGGTAACATTAATCCTTCCGTGTCAGAGATTTCACGGTTAACAGACTATCATACAATCTTCCAAGACCCTATAATGGCTGCTCAGTGACCATGAATCATGACTTATTCACAGGCTTAAGGCATCCGAAGACATCAGCTCTGCATTAATCTAAAAGGCTTATCTCAGAAAGTTATATATGTATACCACAAAACACCTCTTTTCTGATATTAACGATTGCAATGAGAAGGGTTCTGGAGCACAAGCTGAAATATGAGAGGTATGCTTCAGTCATTGCAACAGTCTCATGGATCGGGATCTTTGATGCCCTTTCACAGCACAGATATTTCAGCACTCCTACATATGCTGCCTTTAAATTCCCTCTCATACAATTTCTGCTCAATTAGCAGGCCAAAATACACTGCTGTTTGAGTTCCAACTGCTCAAGATAGCACAAGCAGTTAAGTTGCATCAATAAATACACTTGCTACAAAATCATGCAATCAGAAATTTACTTCCCACATTTGCATGTCTTTCTAAATGAAAAAAAAAAAAAAAAAAGGAGGAGGAATTCACAAACCATATGCTGTTGTGACATCTATGCAATATAAATTGATAATCGGTTTGCATGCCATTCTCTGGCTTACTGGAGTTCACTTCCAAGAAAGAGAGATCTGCTGACAAGATTAAACAAGTGACTCACAAAAACAAACAAGGAAATAATCTCACATATTTAGTTCAGAGTCTGGGGCTTGTGGAAAATCTGGGCCAAGAGAATTCCTGCCTTGGCAGTGTGCCTGAGTCAGATTTAAAGAGAATATTTGCTCGTTGTATATTTTACACAGTAAGCAGGAAATGATATTATGTGCTTCCCAGTCTTTGTCCTCCTCCTATTCCCTGAACAAATTTCTCAGGGTGGGATCAGTATTAAACTGGTGTGTGTCATGGACATAACAGCTGGCAAGAATTGCAAAATCCTCATCAGACTGTGAGGAAAGAACAAATAATCACACACCAGTTTCATGCACCCTTTCCAGATGGTTCTGGAAGGGTGAAAGATATTAATTCCTGAATTTAAACACGCACAAATTTCACAATAATTCAGATTCACCCTTTGAATCTGCTTACCAATAAATCAATATGCAAGTGGCTCAAAACTGCCAACTTGGATGCCTTGATCGGATGAAAACTCCGCCTCTCTATCAGCTTGATTTTATATCAGAAAGGATGTACTCAGAGAAAAGCAGGATTTCTTTCAGGTTGGCCCAGAACCTTTGTACGAAGACATGGTATAGACAAGGATATCTGAATTGTTTAAACACAAGGGATTTCACCTCTGCGCACACTGATTAAAAAGTTTTATGGACTTTTATTCCCTGTGATCAGAAATCTCACATTAACAAGATATAAAGTGGAATCTGAGATATACAATCTTCTTTGAATAACTCCAATACCAGAAGGTGTTGAGGAGCAGGGAAGAGGAGGCAGGAATTCTAGTTACACTAACTTAAGCAAGATGCTATTGCCATGAGCAGATTACAAAATCAATGCAGGCAAATATCAAAGAAGGAGTCAACATCTCTTATACATGTCCAGGCTCCTTCTGAGATAACATAAGTTCCCTAAGATGTCTTGCACTGCTATTATGAAGACAGAACAAGGTTTGTTTGTTTGTTTGTTGGTTTTACTGAGGAGGAGAAGGGACCAGTCACTAGCAACGTGGATGCTACAGGTAAGAGAAAACCAGTCACAGGACCAGAATGCAAACTTAATGCAGCTGCTCATCCAAATATTGCCAAAATAATTTTTCAAACAGAGAGCACTCAAGGCCTGTGATGTTTTTCTTTCAGATTCCTGGAAGACTGCTTTCAAGGTAGTAAAATATTTCCAGGGATTTATGCTGGGATTCAAATGTTGAGAATATACCTAGAAAAAGTGGAATGACATCTTTAATACAATCTGTATCTGTATGTAATAGGAATCAGCAGTTGTACTGATTGCCTTAAAAACAAATGGCAAGGGAATATGCTTTACATTGAGGATAGCAAAGTATATTTAAATTATATTTAAAATAAAGATGAAATCTACAATTAAAACATTTCCAGTGGTGGAAAAGACAAATTTGGTGATGGATACAATTCTTGTTCCTTGATTCGAATTAGTTTGTTTTTCCTTCCTTCACCTTGTTTTAGCTTCTGTGTCAAGACATCAAAAGTGCCTTGAGATTTAACTACGCAGATGGCTAAAACATGTTACTACAGAGTAGCAGCAAAATAGTTATGTTACTTGCAGGCCAAACACTAATATCTCGATCAAAATGAACAAAGAGGAGAAAATTATACTATCGAAGCCTAAAGAAATAGAAGCTGCTGCATAAAAATCATTCAAGTTTATTTCTGTGGTTGTATCTATCAGTTTGCAATTATATTTTTAAGGTGGATGGTTCTTGTTTACTCCTCCCATTTAGAATTTTGAGTTAAATGTTTGAAGTACAATTTTAGAAATGGGATTAAAAACTGTGTGAAAGGTAAAATAATCTTTCCCCTCGTTAGGTGAAAGTTATTCAGGCCTTCTCTCCTTCTTTTCATACAACTTCTTACAGCTTTCACTGGAAGAAGCTGAGCAGAAAACAGAGCTCTGGAATGAGCAAGATTAGTTCCCATTACCACTTTAAAACTCAGCAATTCTACTATTTTTTTGTTACGACTGAAACTCAAACCTGCCAAGTGGCAGCATGTACCCTTTTACTCCAGCATGGGGATGTCAGCAGCATGATGAAAGCTGCTGAAGAGCCTCAGGAAGCACAGCTTTCCCCAGGTACCTTTTGAAGAGTACTCCCTAATGATTCTAAGAATGCTCTTTAAAATTGTTTGGTATGTCTTGGTCTCTGTTTTTAAAATCAGTATCGCTTGTGCTATGTAACAGAAAACAAGACACAACAAGATTACTATGGTGACTGATACTTGTAACATGTGCAGATACCATCTGCAGAAATACCATAGAAATGGAAGGGCATGTCCTCCCTGCTCTAGTTTAGGTGAATAATCCTTCATCAGATAAGGATTATCTGGAGTATATACTCCAGAGCTTTAAAAATCTTACCTTTTTCTGTATTTGCACCATGTGATAATATCATATGATGAAGAGAGCCAAGCTCAATGACATAAGGTTGCCTGAACAGGGTCTATGACAAACTATGATTAGGAAATATTTTAGCAACAGAAAATTCTTTGTAAGACAATATTTTAAGAGCATAAATGTAACACTTAACGGCTTAGAAAGCCATCTGAGAACATTAAGAGCAAAACTACTAACACTCCAAAAGCTGAGTTCTCAGCTCTATCTATGGAGGCTGGAGGGAATCCCAGCGTTTCCATACCTTTCTAGGATGACTAGAGATAACATTTTGCAATAATGGTAGTTTTGTCTTAGCAGATAACTTCCACCTGTATTTTCCATTAGCCATCAGGCAATGTAAACCTGAGAAGTTCCTAGACCTAGCTTGTGAGTGCTAATCTTCTGAAGTAACTTCTGACAGAAAACACATTTCTTATGACACATCAGCAATTGCAGGTGGTGAATAAAGACTGAGGAAGAAATAAGAGTAGCTATTTAAACATTAATGAAAGATCTAGATTTGTAGAAAGCAGTTAGAGAAAAAGGTATACTTCAATTTCATGGTAGAAATTTACCATCTTGGTATGGTACATACTGCCAATAAATGCAGGTTCCAGCACAGTAGAGACACAGAGTTAATCCATTTGGATTGTTACAGACTCACTGTGAAGTGAAACTCCATTACCTTTCAGTAATGCTGTAAGGATAGCTAAATCAATATCCTGGTGTCCTTCTGATCCCATGCGAAATACTGTGATCTGAAACATTAAAAGACAATAGCATAATTGAAACCACAGTAACATTTTAAAGCAGAAATTAAATGAGATCTACAAATCTCAAAATTTCCCCATGGCTACAAAATCATTATCTTACTCAATTATTTCATGAGGAGGTTGTTATATAGGATTAACATATCACTTTTTTTTTTTTTTTTTTTTTTTTTTTTTTTTTTTGTGAGATAAAATTCACTGAAGATAAAAGTTCCATTAAGAATCACGTGGAAGAAAAATTCTCTGTAATACTTACAGGGTGAAATCAGAGATGAAAAAAAAATATTCTTGTATTAGATTAGCATTAGATTAAATGTCCCCACTACTAGGATGGATTAGGTGTGTTATAGGTTATGGATTTTATTTACAATATATGGCACTGAACAAGATGTTTTCAGCAAAAAAATCAGCAATCAACATCATGATTCTGTATAGCAGGAAGTTAGGTACATGATCTGTGCTTCTAATATCTTTAGGCATATGTAGTCAGTGATGAATATTATATATAAGCTTTGAGGCTGTTAGGTAAGATACACAATTCATGAAGAATTAATTTTGTGGGATTGTTCTTTCAAGACAATTTAACTCTTCGTTAAGACTACTCTGAAACATATAGAAGTGCAAATCTCCCTGCTCTTTTTGTTCCTATGCTCCTGGGCTTCTATAAAGACAATCAAGACTGCAGTCTTTTGTTATTGTCTTGTCTTTTCTAAGGCAACCTATGTTACCATTACCATTACCATTAACTGGTAATGTTTTCTCCTTTTGTCATTGTTGACTGCCTCCATAAAATTTTAATTAAATGATACTCTTAATTAGGAATCTTGTAAACATGTTTTATACATATATTCAGGAGCATATGTAGTCCCTGAATTCCTAGATTTCTACTCATTCGGCACCACTGAATTACAGCAGCATCTGCTGGCAACTATCAGTGCACAAAGAATGGTAGAGAGCAATGTGGAGAGAAAACACTGAAAGTGGTCAAGCTTATGCTTCAGTTTATCAGCTGCAATATTCCTACAGATTATACTCCAAGCAATTCAGCGCAGCCCTCCTGTTGCACCCATGTTACCTTCATGTGGCCCTGGGAGCCCCAGGGTGTTTGGAGGGATGTCAGAGATTTTGGCATCAGTGCCTGTAGTAAAACGTGCTGGAGACAGATAAGGCAAATTTTTTCATAACTTTTTTTCACCTTCGCAGTGACTGGCAAGAAAGCTTTCCCCTGCAGTGCAGTCAGGCTGCTTCTCCGCAGTTAGTGTGGGAAGAAACACACTTTTTTTCTAAGTATCATCTCAGTACACAGTAACAACATGAGCTGATGAGACCAGCCGCTCTTCTGTGTAAGCAAGAAGGAGGAACATCTTCCCTCCCAATGGTAGGTCTGGCAGTTGATGAAAATATGTGAACACAGTGTATCCACATAACAGATTGAGTATTAAATTCCTCATCATACTTTGCAATTTCCTATACTATTTTTGCAACGAGAGGCATCTCCATAGCACTGAAAGGATGTGTGGCTGCCTGGCAAGCTGGTGTTGGAAACATGTTTGCAGCTCTGTCCTCCATGGCATCAACACATGGCAAGATGCCCTGCTTGTTCTTTAAGTCCGTATAAAGGAATCTACATACCAGGGCTGAAAATACTGAAATAAGGCAGTTCAGAACATACAGAGGGAGAACAAAATAAATCTCAAACTAAACGTGTGCTCAGAGAACTCCCAGCTTAATTGAAAGGCTGCATAAAAACTGCGAACACTGAACAGCTTATCATCACACTAAACCTGAGGGAATTTTGTGTGCACTGGACCATATATAGAACTAAATTTCCAACTTCCCTTTCTTCTCTATCCACTTCACCCATTCCTCCCTTTCAGAAAAAGCTAACCTGCTCCAGCAGAACAAATTGCTGTGGTATCAAAAGTAAGATAGAGCCATAAAATTTATTTAAATTTGAATAAAAAGGGTACCTTTAGATAGTAACTGTTACTTTATTAGTATGTGTAAGAGATCTAGCAAAAACCCAAAGGGTAAAATAAAGAAAAAGAAGATAATTAAATTAGAGATGGGCATAGAAAAAGTGTTTGGACTCAAACCAGAGTTTTGATCATTTTGAGACTCATTCTGAAGACTCAAACAGAAATTAAATCTTAACCAAGGCAAATTCTCATGGTTATTCCTTTCAAAATGCTCAAAGGTTAGCAGCTCAATGAGTCAGATGATGTTACCGACTTCAGCCTGTTCTGAAAGCATGAAATCTTTCAGGACAAAAACAGGTATGCTCAGCCTCTCACAGTGGTTCAGGCTAACTCTCCCTCTCCACAACTGCTTTCTCTCCTGTCACAGACCATGAAGAAGATTTATGACAACCTGAAGCATTTTGCTACTCTTATTCATGCACCTTTATTTTTGCAGAAACTTCTCACAGCTAGTTATCTGTCAAATTGTTGTCTCAAGCCTCAACTCAATCTAGAATTTACAGGCTTGTCTTTGCCCTGTTATGTTTTCCCACATAGATTGCTTGTTTCTTCTTTCCACTGTTGTCCTAAGACTTCACCCATGTGTTACTACATTCACAAAGTAGGGAATTTAAAATAGAAACTGCACTGTAGTTTGACAAGTACTGAACTTTCTCATGCATCTCTGAATATAAAATTTTAATCCTGACCTGCAGTGTTCTTCAGTTACAGTCTTGTTCATTTGTATCTTTGGAAGTAAATGTTGGAAAGTATCTGATTTGTCACTGTCTTCAGAATAAATCAGGCATATAAATTGCAGCATGCTGGCTGATATACCATTTGGATCATCACCACCACTTGTACCTTGGCAAAGCCACGTTGCTGAACCTTTTTTTCTTCAGTATCAATTCATGATCCAAGAACAATGCAGTGGGAGAGGGAGAATATCTAAGCTATATTTTCAGCCCCAGAACACACTGGAGGAACCCTCAGGATCTCTGATAGACCTGGAATGCATCTCCAATTGAAGCTTTACCCCTGGCTGATGTCATGACATTCATTAATGAGGAGGGTTGTGCCTGCCCTCTGTCTTTTCTCACAACTTCTTTTAGAAACACAGCCACAAATGCTGCCCCTCTGTTTTTTTTGTGCCACTTTTAAACAGAGATAAGCAGTAATATAAAGAAGCTTTGAAATACACTGAGAGAAAAAGAAAAGTGCACTATTCACTGCTGGATGTAATCCCAATGTCTTATACTAAACCCTCTCTTCACTGTGCCATCGAGAAAGCATGTCTTTTACTTAGGAATTCATTAAGTATGAAGAGACAACAACTGCTCCTAAACCACAGGCTTACTCCTATACTTATGCACCCTTTCTAGTTTTCCTAGTGTTCTTTATTTCTTGTAGTTAGAGGAATAAGGACATAGGGACACTTTGCAAAGTATTTACGCAGACTTTGCACTGAGAAATGTTCAATATCTCCAGGACTCATAAAAAGTCAATCTGTCCCTCATACTCTAGGCCTGTTTTTCTGGCATTTTTTTCCTGATTGTAATTTACTCATCTAGTTTCAAGAAACATTAATTTATTTGACATCTTCTGGGTGCCTTTTCCCTAAACACTGGTGGATAAATCAGTGCTGAAACTAAGTAATAGCACATTGATGCTGCTATGCCATTTACCAGGGCCTTGTTAGAACAGGTTACAGGTGCTACTGCGCTAGTGTATACAAAACTGCCACGCTAAAGGAAAACATCTGGGCCAGTAAACTCTATTACCAGCTATCTCTTGATAGACATTTGCCACTGAATACCACTTGATAACACTGAAAATAATAAAAGCTTTTCTTCTTTAAAGAAGAGACACAGTGCCTAAGAGCCATTCATGTTGAAAAAGATCCGCTTCATGTTGAAACCCACTGCACTGCTGTTTGAGCCTGCCGTAGTAGCTGTAGCCTCCAAGTAATCTTATTGAAAAAAGCAATATAAAAGGCAAAACAAGACTGCAAGTATGCATATAAAATCCAGGGCATTAAATTATTAAAAACAAAACAAAATACTAAGGCTAAAAAAAATAAAAATAATGTATGCTTAAGACTTGCTTGTCCTAGCAAAAGAAAAAGAGAAAAGATGCATTGGTAGTTAGACTAACACTAGCCATTCTTTTGCAGTGATGTGAAAGAAGGAAGATTAACTTCAGCTGATAAATCTTCTTTACCCTGATTTGATTAAAACTGTAATCTACAAAATAGTTTCCTATTTTTTAAAATCATAATAAAATTTTTGTAGAAAGAAAAATTACCATTTGATTTTCTCAGTTTTTTTCTTTTGAGCCAGAAAATGATTTCTGCTCAAAAAAGAAAAACTACTCCAAAATCAAATATCCTTTTTGTCTCGGGTTTTGGGCCATGTTATTACTTCCATGTTGTCAGTGGTTTCAATAGTTGATGCTGAATTCAATTATTTTAGAAGAACATTTTTTGGGGATTGGCCGTTTTTTTATTTCCCATTTTCCTCCTTTTCTTCCTCAGTGTTCACGCTATTTATTGGCTTGAAATGAATTTTTCAGGTAACTGCCTGAGGCATCTGAGTAAACAAGTGTGACTTCCAATAGCGGCACAAGCATTTTTAAAATATATTTTTTCCTCACTTCCTTACAAATACAATACAGGTGATATTAACATCCCTTACAAAGAAAAGAAGGTTAAACTGTACTAAAGGAAGAGTTAAATCTTAAGATAAAAATGCAACCGAAAGAGGCATGCAAAAGTGGCTCCAAGTCATTAATAAAGGCTATCTCAACAAACTACAAAAGCAGAGCTAAGGGCCATCCAGATTCTTGCTAAATATAGCTCTAAAGTTTGTCTTCCTTTTGGTCTGCCCATGGTGATCTATAGATAAAGTCCAATAGGTAGCAGACACTTTGTGCTCCTGTGTTTGTGTGAGGCTGAATTTCATATGTAAAGAGAGGGGACCCTCCCACTTAAGATAAGTATGGGAGGAAGATGGTGAAGTGGGAGGAGGGGAT